TGTATTGAAGTGATTGCAAGCCTTTGTTGTTTGTTTTCACAATTATTACTATTATCCATATGTTGTAAAGCGCCTTAGAGTAATTTTACAAATTATATAGGGCGCTATATAAATGTTGTATATTATTATTATTATATTATTATATATACATGTGACTCTGAGGATTTACCACGGCCCGACTATTCCAGAGGAATGCACAAAGGGCTGGCCCGAAGGCGGACACCTTTATTCCAAACCCCAAGGAAGGAATGCACAATTTATTTCTATGTCATCCGATTCTTTAGTGTTGTTTGTTTTGTTGGTTTTCTTATTTGTTTTATTGCATGTTGGTTAACGTCGTGAATGTGTCGAGGTATCTCTGATGCTTGTACGATAAAAGTGCAATAGATTGGATAGCATTGTCGACATTTGACACAAACGCGACCAAAATAAATCTGCTGCACCCATTGCAATATTTAGGATCTTTATCTTTCTTTCTATTTCTAACTATCTTTTATTTCCTAGCGCCTTGCTTGGCAACACCTCACTTTTGGTTTGAATGTTGAGCGTTCGCCCAGGTGAGGAATGCAATGGGTTCTGTCTCCAGGCCGGGACATACCAAAGTCCTTAAAAATGGGAGTTGTTATTCACTGCTTAACGTTCAGCATTCAGGGGAATGGCAACAACTGATTCACCCGTTGTCAGTATAATGTGACTGGGCGCAATGCTATTATGGGTGCCTTCGGCATGGTATTTCAGTGAGACAGAACTATAAAGTCGGCATCTGATCGGCACTATTACAAGGAGGCAATAACACCAACATATATACCCTGTCTCCTGCATACACACACGCAAGCATGCATACACCACACACATGGAAAAAACGTCCTTAAATGGCCTTAGCTGTTTATAGGACGTTAAACAAAATTAAACCAAACCAATCCACAGTATTCGTTGTGTTAGTTGCATCCCCACACCAACTCTATCCCAACCCCGACTTTTGCCATTAAATCATGTCTTGCTTCTTTCGCATCTCTCTCATCTACATGTTCAGTATTCCAGTACATTCCTTTCCATCTCTTCTCACTTTTTTAAAGACCCGATCTTTACAAGCAATGCTCGTAACAAAGCTTACTGGCTGCATCGTCAGTCCTTTGCATTCTCAGTTTCACTGTCGTGTTTACTAGGACTATTGCTGCAGCCTTTTGGTTTCGCCTGAGATTGAACCTTCACCTTGACCCTTAAACATTCTCTGTTCATCGCGACCCTCTACCAGTTTCCAGTGTCATTCTAGGTCTGGTTTTAGATTGTCAAGAACAAGGATATCTATCGTTTACTACATTTGCAAATATAGAGATTTCTGGTTGTGGTTTACATGATTTTCATTTCGTTTTAAACACATAAACCTGTTTCTTGACTCAAACTTTGGAACCCATGTATTTTCAGTTGTTAGATTTCTAACTTGAGTATGTTCCCATGTGTGTCGCTCTTGTTTGGTTGAAGATCTAAAACGAGAGTGACCGTTAACGTTAGCAACGTTAGTGTATATTTATAACCATAGAGTCAATAGTTTCAACATTACAAGATTCAGTGTGTAGCACTTCTGTACAACTACAAAAAGTGTACCCAAGATATGTTGCCAGGCAGGACCCAGTGTCACTAAAGGTCGTAAGTCTACACGTAAACGTAGACATAGGCGTAACTTACGTCTAAAACCAGTTTCACTAATAGTCGTAACGTGAAGTTACGGCTGAATTGACGTATAAGTCTATGTCGGCCCTAATGTACACGTAAGATTAAACGTAACTTTAAACAACAACACAAGATAGCCTTTGTTTTTTTTAGCTTGGTTTACACGGCCTAATTCGATTATGTATGCTGCTCATATTCAAGTGATCCTTTACGAGAACAGCTGATTTTCTATGAGCTAAAACACAAACCCCAAATAGGAAAGACAACATTGTTTTTGTTTTTTTCATAGTTGACTCTTTCGTGGTATTCGTGGTTTCATTCTGTGTATGGTTATCCTGTAATTTTTCCATGTCAGGTCTTAGTATGGTGTCTTCCAAAGAGTTTGTATCATAAAATGTTGTCTACATTCAAACCTGGTTAGGTAATACTTATATATATGTGGCTAATTTTCTTCTGAAAAGAAGTGTATACATAGTTTAGTGTTAAGTTCAAAATAGGTATTCTAGACAAACAAGTTGTTATACTTTGCTTCCTCGTCCAGTCTAATTGTAATGACTAAGAAATTATTTCACAAACGGTCCTTTATATAATACCTTTGTTAAGATTAGCCAGTACTGCTAACCTTTATGTCCTGCAGAGTTCATTTTTCTTTCTGGCGTTATATACATTTAGAGCAGACAGTGACGTATGGCCCTGTCGAGCCTCGGTCTGGCTTTGTGGCCCCCTGCTAATGCGCCGACTGAGCATTACGGAACAATACATTCTAATTACGGTAACCAAATAAAGACATGGAATGTCCAGTGTAAAAGCGATCATTATCTGACTTATATATATGTCCCAGGCTTAGATTTTATGACTTAATCTATGTAACATACTGAATGGCTATAACGACACACGGAATGTAAAGCGCATGTCTGTTTGAGTTTGAATTAGTGATGATGAAGAGGTAGATGACGATTAAGTTTAAAAGATACACCAGCATAAAAAAGCCACAAAACAGCATCTAGTCAAAGCCCATATAAAAAATACAAAAGATTCAGGAACCATCGAATGTCAAGAACTCGCACAAAAATCCGGAGACTAAACCATATATTCAGGAATGATAAACGTTTCCTGTAAGACAGAACCGGCTCGTCTGCGAGTAAACCAAGAAACTGTCTTTAAATGCTACTGAATATCTACATGGTGCACTTATCTTCATAACAGCGGGTTTGACTGGTCACATGACGAAGTAATAAAATAATCATGTCGCCCTGACGCCCTCAAGTTCCCCCGATCTTCTTCCCTTAAATTGAAGCCTATCTAGAAAAAAAAATCAAAATCCACCAACACGTAGTTCCAAATGACAGAAGCAGACGACACCAATGGCGCGTCAACCGTATCATCTCCACTCTTGTGTTACTGTTTTTGATTGTTTTTTTTTTTTAATTGTCCTTACTTAAGGGGATCACGATACTTTGTTTCTCCTCGATCAATCTTGTTTTATTCGGACTTTGCCCTCATCAAACATGATTATAACCTCATAGAAATAGGGAATCGTGTTCCCCTACAGTAAAGCCAATAAATGTATATAATGTCATCAATCATAGCACATTGCTAAAAAGTCTGTTCAGAATACGCATGATGTACCTCTGCTAACGCATTTAACTGGATCTGGTTCTTATTTGATGGAAAGGAGACAATAAGCGGCAGCAGGCAATGCTGCATAATATATGATTTAAGAAGTCTTTACTTTGTCAATCCGAAATGATTCGTCGTTTGGTCCAAGAATTCGAAGGTCCCGCTATAATCCGAATACACCTGTCGACAGTTGTCGCAAACCTTAACGTCCGTATCACTGTTATGCTTGATGGTATTGTATTTACACCCGATCACGCGACGACCCCCTCAGATGATTTCTCAGTTCGACAGTTGAACATCAATATCTGGAGGTGATTAAACAGGCTGAAATTGAACCAAGGGAAAATAGTATTCACTGTGTATTCTCTTAAACTCACAGATAATACTTCCATTCCAGTTTAGAGTTATAGTGCCAGTGTTATAGAAGACGTGCCATTTGTAAGGACTTGGTTTTTTAACAATTGAAAAAAATGTCGTTAGTCTTGGCTTTGCAATCTATTCAATTTACACGTGCTCAAGCGGAATAATAACCTGACAAAAATTAAAAAAAAAATATCCCTGAAATATCCGAAATATTTTGTTCACTCTGCAATCTTTGCAATTCTGAGTAGATATGAAATTTGCAAATATACAAAAAAAAATGCTGTCTTCCATTATAGAAGTATTTTCTCTGTCACTTTTGGAAATACTTTGTGGTGACTATGGTTCAATACTGAATCTATACCATGTTTGTGATGTAACGGCACTTTTCATTGGTAATATAAATAACCATGCACTGTTGGACGATAGATTATGTGCGTGCGTGTATTATATTGTCCAACGCTCTTCCGAAAACCTTCCCCGCTAATGTACCGTAAACTAGCGAATGAGGTTACCCGCATTTATTTTTTATGTATTTGAAGATTTGCTAGCGGACTTGCTATTTTACCTCTAGATCTACTAAAACCTGTCAAGCTTATATTCAGAATTAATGTCCGACTTAACTTACCGCGAAGGTGACTTGATAGTGTTTGTTAATCTGTCAAATACTGATTTCATGTGTGACGAGCGATGTCGATAGATTGGCGGATTTGATTGATTGAAATAAACATCTGACATAAAGCATGACGTCAGTGTTTATTGTTTATCGTCTGTCGACAAAATGGCGACTGAATTTTTTTTAAATCCTTCCCAAATATCGAGTTTAATTAGACAAAACAGGACAACTGCCCACAGTGTCACAAATGAAAAAAATAAAAATAAACCATATGGGCAACAGCTGACAAATGTTAGCGGGCGCAAAAGAACAGACTAATTTAAATGATTAGATATCTAAGGCCTACAGACAATGAGGTAGACACGAAAAACGACTTTCGTGCGTTTCGGTAAACTCTAGTACGCCCCAATATAGGTTTGTAAAAATGCTCAAAAATGTGTTTCAGAATAGAAAATGGATTTTTTCTTTAAGAATAAGCAGTAATACGTTCAGAGCTGAAATACTGAAGGTAACGACGCAGACTTTGGTTTTCACATCTGGTCGTATTCTCCTTGTAGTTTTTCATGGATACCCATGTCTGACTCTCCATGTAAATCCTCCCTTACAATAAGAATATGTCTAAATTTAGTAAATCAAATTATGATAATAACACATATTTTTATAAATAAGCGCACCAGAAATACATGAGGTACGGAGTATGGAGAGTATGGAGAGTATGGAGAAATCACCCAAATGAAAGTGTAAAATAATTAGTGAAAAATTGATCAAATGACTTCAGCGAAGAAAGACCCAATATGATAAGTCAAAGAAGAGCTCTCCTACACTGGAACACATATACTTTTAGAGATTTTGATGCAGTGCCCCAAACTTGTCAATACCCGATTTTGATCCTAGTGACCCCCTCAGTGGTATATTGATAAAAATGCATCCCTTTTTGGAAAATTTTCCCTAAAACGTCCAGATGCATTGTTAAATGTGTTGGAAAAAGTTAAAGCATGCACAAAGAACAGAAGATTAAACCATGTTTAGCATATTTATTTATAGAATATATATATTTCTTTCCATTTACAATATGACAGGTTATGTCACAAGTACATGCTTTTACTAATTAAAATGTTGACTAGACCACAAAAGTTGCGTCCCTTTAACAGTTAATGTTGATATTTATACATGTATCATGGTAATAATTAGTTTCAATATGAAAAAACCATTCAAACTTGAAGTTAATTACAACCACTGATAAACTTACAGTATTAACATAAAACAAGTCATTCGCAAACTCTGACAAAGTAATGATTTTTGAAGAAAAGAAAAAAATGTTTTAATAAACTCAAAATAGCATATTATTTTGAGATAAAACAAATGTTATTTACAAACTTTTGACAACTTATGGCTGAAGATAAAAAAACAAAAATAAAAAAATAAATAAAAAATTAGGTTAGTAACATCAGAAAAATATCATTCATGAACATTTAAGATAAAACAAATATTATGACAGACTCTGACAACTAATGAGTTTGAGATAAAACAAAAGTCATAAAAAACTCTGACAAAATAAAATAGGTTGAACTGTTTTTAAGATAAAAATTCCGCCATTCACAAACTCAGACAAACTTACGGTCTTTAAGATAACAAGAGGCCTATGGGCCTTAACGGTCACCTGAGTCCTACAGTATTTATTTTCGTTGTTGAAATATGAAGTTGAGATAATGATATCAACCATCCCTACCAATTTGAGTAAAAAAAAACAGTTAAGTATAACGTTAAGTTAAGTTTGTCAGGACCATGAGTTGATCATTCCTAGACCGAGGTTCAGTTAAATCGGCCAAGTAGAACTTGATGTTAAGTTTGAATAGTTTTTTCTAAATGGCGGCCGTGGGGGCCATATTGGATTTATGATCGACCCAAAAAATAACAGCACTTTTTCAAGACCATGAGTTGAGCATTCCTACCAAGTTTCAGTTAAATCGGACAAGTAAAACTTGACTTGACCCGAAAAATAACAGCACTTGGTCAGGGAGTTGTCAGTAACATACCCATGGAGTATATCAATAAAATCCCTTCGACAGTATTTCAGCTTAAGTTGAAAATGTAAAATGTTAACGAATGACGGACGACGCACAAAGACGGATAGCAATAGGTCACTTGAGCCAAAATTCAGGTGACCTAAAAATCCCACCATTCACAAACTCTGACAAACTAATGGATTTAAGATGACACAAATGTAATTAATGAACTCTGGCAAACTTGAATTCGGTCTTAAGATAAACACCTCTCATTTACAAAACTCTGACAAACTAATGGTTTGTTTTTAAAATCAAACCAACATCAGTCACAAATCAAACTGACAAACTAATGGTTTAATTGTTTTCAATTAAACCAACATCAGTCACAAACTCATGCTCTTAAGATATAATGGGGACATAATAAGAAGCTGACAATGATAATAAGGAATGTTATTTACCTCAGTGAATTAGTCGCAACATAATAGTTCTACATATATTTTGTACATATCTTCAATAAAACTGTAAATCTGTAAATGATGATTTCAATACATTTTTGCCCTTTCCACTTCTGAAAAGACAGGCAAATTCAACAGTGAAAAACAATCGCATACATGACATGTAAAATTGGCGGTGCTGATAATCATACATTGTTAAATTACACTTTGGGCGCAGTTGTTTTTAATGTCAGAAATTATATCACAGGTGGTACATTTTAGCAAATTCGACCCCTGAAGACACATTTGAACTCTTCCAATTCAAAGGTTGGAATAGTTCATTATGAAATTTCAGGGGTGAATGAGTTAAGGTGTAAGTTGGGATACCGATGCTTTAGCATTTCACCCCAACACATCTCATGGTGATACGTAATCTCGGCTAACTTCGCAAATGGGATTTGTTGAAGCATATATATCACTGCTCATCTCAGATCAATCAGTATTTACCATCAACAGGTTTCATACAATACATACCATCCTAACACACTGACCTGTTTTAATAACACAATTTAGTAGCATCATAAGCTTCACAAAATGCATGTACTTATTAATTAAGAGTAGGTTGAAAATTCGGAATGTGTTCTCTATGCAGATGGAGAAATTCAAATCAAACACATTTAAAGCAATTTGCCTCACAAAGCTAAACCTCTCACTGATATCAAATATCAATACTAGCAACACTGGAAAATTATCAGTAAATCGAACATTATCAAAAACACCAACAAACAAAATTGTTTTGATTCAATTAAGTGATACTGACGATATCAGAAGAGACTTGGGGTCTGTTCTGCCAAACCTTTACTGTCATCTTTTATTTCCACAGGAGGTAAGACTGTGTCTTTCTTCCTCATCTTTCCTCTTTCAAAGAGGCTGAAGAAGTCAGCATCTCCTTCAGAGATGAGCTTGTCCACCCCTGTCTGTGGCAGTGCTTTCTTTTTCTTCTTCCATTTGAGCGGGTCACTAAAGCAGTCAAAACTATCGTCCTTGAGAGTGCTATCATTTTGGAGATGAACACTTGACTCTGTCACCAAGCCTGGGTGTTCACTGTCTGCTGTGTTACCTGGGGTAGCACTCCTGTCACTAACTTTACCAGCGACGGTTTCCCTCTCTCTTCCCTTACCCGGTGGAGGTTTCCTCACCGATTTGGAGGACTTCACATCGACAAGAAATATATCGTCTATGTCTTCGTAAACAGTCATGTCTAGATTAACATCATCCGTGTGTCTAGACACCTTGCTCTTTGCATCTAAACCGATTTCTTCCAGAAGTTCAGTAGAATGAGGCCCTTTTTGTCCAGTCCTTGGTGCCTCCCCCTCCTCATGCTCCTCCCCCTCCTCATGCTCCTCCCCCACCTCTTCATCTGAAATCTGAACTGACCACGTTGGAGACATAGCTAACCCATGAATCACAGTTCTACTACTACTACTATAACTGCGTTTTTGGGGCAGTCGTGTTCTGGTTGTCATAGATGCATTCACTTTTCTCTTTTTGACCGTCCTGCCAATTTCTAAGCTGCCTGATGGGTCACTTTCCCGGCTGCTGGTTCGTACCAATATCTTTGTTCCTAGAGATTCACTATCTGACATGTAGTTGACCCCTAAAGTAGGGTTGTCTTTCACTCTTCTGTGTTTTTTAGAAGATTTACTTCTGTATGAGGGTTCTACAAAGAAAAAATCCAAGTAACATTAAATTGTAAATTTCTCATTGGAAAGAAAAACTAATTCCAAGTAACATTAAATTGTAAATTTCTCATTGGAAAGAAAAACTAATTCCAAGTAACATTAAATTGTACATTTCTCATTGGAAAGAAAATGAAATGTTTGAAAATTGTATAAAGTCTGTCATGGTTTTCTTGTTTTAACCAGGGATACAATGCAAGCCCATAATCAGAAACAACGATGCCCATCCCCACACAAAAAATATATACCATTAATGTCAATCTAGAAACAAAATATCTATGCATGAAAAATGGTCTTTATATCATCAGAGAGAGGTTCTGTGAAAAATTACTTTTAAAATGCAATATTTAAAATTTCAGTTTCTAACTTAGAACAACAATGAAGTTAAGGAGAGTGCATTGTAAGGGTGAATGACCATCCTAATCATACTTAACATCGTGTACACAAGACAATTACCATATAACGCACTAGTTACACGTCCTTCAATTTTCACATTTTCGACCCAAAATTAGAAAATGATCATTACAGAGATTTTATTTTTGCGATCTAAACATGAGAAGGAACTAAATGTTTGTGGGTTTAGCACAGAGACGAGAGTCTCATCAAATGAAGCGTCAAATAGTCAAGTGAATTAATAGCTTCATTACAGAATATTGAGCAACAACAAGTTAATAAGTGTATTTTGTTAATCAATCATCAATAAAACTATAAGATGTGCGATATATAGTCAATTTTTAACCATCTTGTACTCTTCTTGATGTATAGGGACCATTACAACCACATAATCACTATTTCATGACAACATTACAGTTAAGAAGTTTCTCATTGCGCTCATTTTTAAGCTTGTCACATTATTTTGCGGATCATATTTTTCGCGATCACGTTATTGACCTGCGAAATCGCAAAAAAATATCATCCCCGCGAAAATATTCTGTTATACAGTATACTGTACCGTTGTTCGAAGATGACTGCTGCTGCTGCTGAGATTTCTTAAAGATTTTATGCAGATCTGGGTTTTCCTTCGTATGAAACTCCTTCAGCATCTTCGTCCTAGAATAAGGGTCCCCTAGCAACACTTCCTGAGCGAAGTCCACTAGTGCCTTCTGCCCGGCCATCTGCTGGAACTGTCGTCTGCAACAAATTTTAAAATGTTGTGTTAAAGTATATTAATGCAGATAAATTGAATGTATACATGTCATACATGGTTAATTTAGATCTGTTTTTGATATTTCTTTGGTTAATTATTAATCCATACATAAGTTCTAATTGATATCACACAAGTCTTATAGGTATTGTCTAAATATCAGCCTCCAACTTACCCAAAGTTTTGTCAATGACTATGAAGATAGCTAAATGAAAGTCAATTATTCTTGTTTGTGATGAATAACCACCTGGATACCACAGTGGTTTTTTTTCCGTTTGCATATAGCGACTTGTCCATGAAGTTTACAAGTGAAGATGAAAAGCTACTGTACAGATATGGTTGGAAATGAATTATGTTGTCTAATGTGCAAAATCAATGGGCATTACATCTTTTTTACTGTAGTTATAATCTAGATGTTATTCTCCACTGTTGTAATACTTACTGTTGTATACCTTTATATGTTTGGTATACTTCTTGTCATATCCCTCTAAGAGTCTGACCAATCAGGACCTGTGATACTTACTGTTGTATACATTTACATGATTGTACCTATCTATACCTTGGATGTTTGATACTCTCCACTCTTGAATGTGTGACACTTAGTAGGGGTCTGACCAATCAGGACCTGTGATACTTATTGTCATATCCCTCTAAGAGTCTGACCAATCAGGACCTGTGATACTTACTGTCATATCCCTCTAAGTGTCTGACCAATCAGGACCTGTGATACTTACTGTCTTATCCCTCTAGGGGTCTGACCAATCAGGACCTGTGATACTTGCTGTTGTATCCCTCTAGGGGTCTGACCAATCAGGACCCGTGATACTTACTGTCGTATCCCTCTAGGGGTCTGACCAATCAGGACCTGTGATACTTACTGTCGTATCCTTCTAGGGGTCTGACCAATCAGGACCTGCGATACTTACTGTCGTATCCCTCTAGGGGTCTGACCAATCAGGACCTGTGATACTTACTGTCTTATCCCTCTAGGGGTCTGACCAATCAGGACCTTTGATACTTACTGTCGTATCCCTCTAGCGGTCTGACCAATCAGGACCAGTGATACTTACTGTCGTATCCCTTTAGGGGTCTGACCAATCAGGACCTGTGATACTTTATATTGTATCCCTGTAAGGGTCTGACCAATCAGGACTGTGATACTTACTGCCGTATCCCTCTAGGGGTCTGACCAATCAGAACCTTTGAATTACCAATAACTTCAACTCTGGCAGTGTTAGGGCTGACAGTTGACTTGTTCTTTCCTCGACCCTTATTTTTCGGAGGTGGAGTTTCTTCCTCTGATGACGACTGCATTAAAATGAAATTAATTCCATTGATCAATGTCCCCATGTGAAGTTATGCACTTGAATATGAAGTAAGACACATATATATATTTACATTTGCTCTGCATTACCACTTTCAAAACCTACCAAAGGCAGGTGTGATTTATGAGACCATAAATTTGAGTGATGCGCATGACATCATTACAATTGTGATGTCATAATCATAAAATTTGAGATATCTGGTTGATACTGGCTGATGGCTTTTTAATCTGTTGAAAATCAACCTTGAATTATAAAAAGAAACTCAAAATTTAAACATCAATTTTTTTCTTCAAAATCAATGAAAAGTTAATAATATTGAACTTTATTCTGCTCAGTCATAATCCAATATTTTTTAACGGGACTTTGCACAATATTAATACATGTATTCATAATGCACTTATATGTGTATTACATTACATGTACAGAATCAAATAAGCACAAATTCTGCTTATCCAAACATAATCTAGTCCTCCTGATGCATGCATCAATGAGGTCACAACTTAAGGATCCCTGTCCCACTGCACTGTGTTTATTCCTATATACAGTAACCTACCCTTAAGGATACCTCTCCCACTGCTCTGTAGTTTTTCCTATATCCAGTAACCTCCCCTTAAGGATCCCTGTCCCCCTGCACTGTAGTTTTTCCTATATACAGTACCCTCCCCTTAAGGATCCCTGTCCCACTGCACTGCAGTTTTTCCTATATACAGTAACCTCCCCTTCAGGATCGCTGTCCCACTTCACTGTGTTTATTCCTATATACAGTAACCTACCCTTAAGGATACCTCTCCCACTGCTCTGTAGTTTTTCCTATATACAGTTACCTCCCCTTAATGATCCCTGTACCACTGCTCTGTAGTTTTTCCTATATCCAGTAACCGCCCCTTAAGGATCCCTGTCCCACTTCACTGTGTTTATTCCTATATACAGTAACCTACCCTTAAGGATACCTCTCCCACTGCTCTGTAGTTTTTCCTATATACAGTAAACTCCCCTTAAGGATCCCTGTCCCACTTCACTGTGTTTTTTCCTATATACAGTTACCTCCCCTTAATGATCCCTGTACCACTGCTCTGTAGTTTTTCCTATATACAGTTACCTCCCCTTAATGATCCCTGTACCACTGCTCTGTAGTTTTTCCTATATCCAGTAACCTCCCCTTAAGGATCCCTCTCCCACTGCTCTGTAGTTTTTCCTATATACAGTTACCTCCCCTTAATGATCCCTGTCCCACTGCTCTGTAGTTTTTCCTATATCCAGTAACCTCCCCTTAAGGATCCCTCTCCCACTGCTCTGTAGTTTTTCCTATATCCAGTAACCTCCCCTTAAGGATCCCTCTCCCACTGCTCTGTAGTTTTTCCTATATCCAGTAACCTCCCCTTAAGGATCCCTCTCCCACTGCTCTGTAGTTTTTCCTATATACAGTAAACTCCCCTTAAGGATCCCTGTCCCACTTCACTGTGTTTATTCCTATATACAGTAACCTCCCCTTAATGATCCCTGTCCCACTTCACTGTAGTTTTTCCTATATACAGTAACCTCCCCTTAAGGATCCCTGTCCCACTTCACTGTGTTTATTCCTATATACAGTAACCTCCCCTTAAGGATCCTGTACCACTGCACTGCACTGTGTTTATTCCTTAAGGATCCCTGATATAACTGTAGCACAGTTTGGCTGGGCCACTTCCGTTGACCAGGTAGCTCAATTAGTTAGAGTGATAGTTTACCAATCTTAAGTGTAAGTTTTCGAATCCCGGTCTGTTGTTATTTTATATTTTGTTTATTTCCCCTTCATTATCTCTCATTCAAGTCCCCAAAGGTATGGTTTTCTTTTCAGAAATGTTTTATCAAAGATTAAAGTCATGCCGGGAAAACCGTTTCTAATACTTAGCTACAGTTTTTGGCAGTGGTACTGGGATCCTTAAATGGCATGATACAACTATACCAACATTGGTGAAACTTTAGTAAGGAAGACTATTTTGAAGAAAGCTTCCACCAATCAAAGTACAGAAAATGACAGTTGGTATGCAGATTTCTTCAAATATGCAGATTTTGTGAACCTACAAACTTTAATGACAATATTCAACCTCAAACTAGTCAAAGTATCAGATCTTTTTTATAAATTAATATAAACAGTCTGTCTTCAAAGAATCAACCACTCAGTTCCTGTAAACACAATAACATGAACCTATTGTATACTGGGAAATTTTCGTCCCAGTTTAACTTTCTTTGGCCTTTTTTGCCCTCCGTAAAGAGGGCAAATTTATCAGGACAGTGAAAATAAGCACACAACATATACCATATATAGAACTGACAGGTAAACGGCATAAATAAGACTTTGTGAAAACTAATTTTACCAGTGAAGGACACTAATATTACTCTGCAAACATTTCCTAGCATTCAGTATTCATCAAGCCACAAATTTTGATGAAATCTCATTATAAAAGGAAAGATATTGAGGAAAGCATGCAGGATGGACAGGAGAACAGACGATTGGACCAACTGTAAACAGTACCTCAATAGCCAATATTCTAATTAATCATATTCATTTTTGGTTTAATATGTTATAGAACAGATGTAATTATTCAATGACAGTTTCTGGACTTACGCTAGAGTATGGTGCACAGTAAGCCGCCGGGATTTGTGAATTTTGATTTAATTCATACACGTCTTGTATGGCACATTTTGTCATGTGGTCCTCTGCCTTGCTGCTTCCGATGACCTTCCTATTCTCGTGAACATGGACAACACCACATCTCTCTGTAGATATACCACAAAAATAAAGGTGAGAAATATACCACAAAAATAAAGGTGAGAAATATACCACAAAAATAAAAGTGGGAAATATACCACAAAAATAAAGGTGAGAACTATACCACAAAAATAAAGGTGAGAAATATACCACAAAAAATAAAGGTGAGAAATATACCACAAAAATAAAGGTGAGAAATATACCACAAAAATGAAAGTGAGAAATAGTTAAGGAATTTATAAAACACCTAGTGAGCTGTTGTAATATTTCATTCATGCAAATAATCATTTTGAAATGATTGGTCTTTATGAATATGATGAGGGATACTAGAATTCAGGTTTCACCTTGAAGACAAATATGTAGCCCTAAAATAAGAGGTCTTTCTTTCATCATTTTATTCATAGAAAATGTTAATTATGAAGTTCCCGACAATATTAATTGCAAACTTGGATACTATTACAGTGTGTTCGTTTTGGAATCAGTGATTGGGATGAACATCTCTTAGCATACATGTACCAAATCCAGATCCATCTCCCAAGTCCTGTCCATTGTAAAAGAACACTAAGCAGTTCAAAAGGCTCTAACACCCCTACTTAGCTGTTGAGCAGGGATTTCTGCTAACAGAGCTATTTGGGGTCGTAAAAGCTATACAGGACATTTAAATGAGAATTTATGATTCAGTACTATTAAGATAATGCTACCTACCAAACACTGCCCCAACAGAGGAGAAGCTGGGATTAGAACTGGGTATCTGACCACGGTCACCATCCACACTGTCAAACTGACCGCTCTGTAGATCTTGATGAATCTTCGACCTCTTTGTTGGTTTGGACTTACTGGACTTCACTTTCACTACTTTTGAATTGTCTTTCTTGGTTGTGTCTGTAAGGTAAGAAGAGATTCACAAAGATGTTCAGTACAAGTCTATACTTTATGTAATAACTTCTTTAGACTGGTTGGATCTTGGGGCTTTAAAGAAAACTTTTATGGATGGAAATATTCTTCAATATACCAAAAGGGTCATAGGCTTTGTCAAAGAAATCAGACATTTAACTAATTGTCATATTTGTGATGAAAAGGAAGGTTCTACCTTGTAACATTTGAACATGTCTATGCATAGTACTGTAACATGAAAAAGAGTAGTGTGCTTCTACCAGGTATAAACCACTGAGCTAGAAGGCGACCGTAATTCTAGATGTACAATAAAATCTGCTGAAATACAACGCCCTTTTTAAGTGTGTTTGCCCTTAAGCACTACAACAACCAAAGTTCTAACTCCCTGTCACCATAGGGAGGGCCACAGACACAATTTGTAACGGTAAAGAGACTAATGTGATTCCACTAGCTGGGGATCGAAACTCCAATCGCAGACTTCTTAGTCAGGCGCTCAACCTCTGAGCTCAAGGGAAATTCCCTCCAGGGTGTAGCTAGAAGGCGACCATAATCCTATGTACAATCAAAATCTGCCACAGTACAAATTTTATCCGCTCAAAATGATACAGACTTCAGAACAAAGTCTTGTGGAATAATTCCGAAGGTTAAATATAGAATGGTGACCAAGAATTTTTAACATTAAATTCTTTTTTATATCATACAACATTAATATACGCAGATCAACTTCTCTGTACCTCGATTAACAGATCTGGCTTCCATTTTGTTGCAGTTACTTGACAAGTCTTCATCTGAATTATCTAGCTCCATCTCTCCTGGCGACTCAACCTGCATCACATCGTCGCCAGTTTCCTCATCACTAACATCGGATATGTCCTCTCCACATTCAGAGTCATCTACCGTCTCTTTTGGAGTGTCAACAGGGGGAATGTATTTGGCCAAGTCATACTTAGCCAGCCCCATCTCCAGGTTGGTATTTCTCTATCAAAAACAATTTGGATATATATACTTTCATGTCTTCTCATAGAAAATTTTAAATACTGTTTTGTATTTTTTCAATCCGTCAGCTAAACTTATACAGAACTACTGTTATATCACAAATGTGATCAAAGTACAATGAGAGAAAACGAAAAAAAACACTTTATGTTTTTATAATGCCATTTTCCTATGTAACAGGAAAGAGAATAGTGTGCTTCCACCGGGGATCAAACCATTGATCTCCAGGTTCCTAGTCGGACGCTCTACCACTGAGCTTAAGAGAAATTCCCACTAGCTGAAAGCTAGAAGGTGATCGTAATCCTATTTACAATTAAAACCTGACACACTACTCCCCCCTTTTTAAATGTGTTTGCCCTCGAACACCATAACCAAGGTTCTAACTCCCTGTCACCACAGGAAGGGCAAGGACACCATTTGTAACAAGAAAGAGAAAAGTGTGCTTCCTCCGGGGAGCGAACCCTCAATCTCCAGGTTCCTAGTCAGACCCTCTACCACTGAGCTAAAGGAAAATTCCCTCTAGCTGGAAGCTAGAAGGCGACCGTAATCCTATTTACGATCAAATCCTGCCACAACTGTATGTATACAAAAGGGACATCACTCTGTACAAACTCATCACAACAACACCCCAGACACACCTGCCCAACTACTGCATGTGGAAAATCCTATCAAATTTCACAGAAATCAAATGATTTTTATTTTATTAGTCAAGATGGAGTCTAGAGACTGGTGGACTAGTTCAAGTGTTGTAATAAATAAATTAAGAACCAAATTTTTCACCAAAGTAGTTCAGTAGGCCAACAATAGTGCTACATAAAAGTTAATATAGGTAGCTTGTTTCACAACTTGATTTTTTTTTTTTTTATGATACAAGAAAAGTGTCAGTCATCTATGGGTTGACTGAGGATGTCTTGTGACGATGATAGTATAGCCGAAATGAACAGGTACAGTAAACCATTCTTACCTGAAGAATATCCATAGTTAAACATCGGTCTCCGCTGTGGAGCTTGAACATGTTTTTCACACCAAAGAGTTCGCCTTTCTGGTCGCTGTCACCAGAAATGGCATTGAAGTATCTCTTCGCGTTCATAGTTCCTACGGCGACACTGTCCAATTGCTGAAACAAACAAGAATGAAGGTAAGAATTTTCGATACTTTCAATAATCTTGAAATAAAGCTACATGTACATGGTAATCAAGTTTTCAACAATGTGGCTCAGATCTACCAAAAGATATGGAGTATACAGAGGCCTGTTTGTTTATGCGGAACAACCAGTTTGTCTGTATTTAAATGTAATTTTTTCAGGTATAAATCCTGGCGGACCTGTGACTGTTTAATCAGGCCTTGCAAGGCTTTGTCAAGACTCGCTTAAAAGCAGCATCAGATTACTAGGTTCTACCTTATTTCATAAACGAACAACTCTGGTCCAACTGGTCAAACCGTTTGGGTCACAATAAACAAAAGTGGTTAAGTATATACTGTATACTGAAAATCAATAACTTTTCAGCATTTATTAGTTTTCAACAATTTTTGTCAAGACTTTTAAATAGACTGTAGCAGATATGTGTACCTTGTGTTTGAACATATAATCTTAACTTATCTACTGTCCTAATAAACAGCAATAAAGAAAAAAACATTACCTGTTTGTACACCTGCCTCAGGTACATGTTCTCCTCGATAGATCCTGCTGAGATCAGGCGGTACACCTGGACATTTCTTCGCTGACCAATACGATACGCCCTACAGACAGACATACATTTCTATAACATACCTTACAGATACTGTAACAGTACTGTTTAATTCAAATGTGGTGTAACTGAACTGGGTCGATCACCGGCTACCATTTAGCTCAATTGGTAGAGCATTCGTTAGAGTTTGGAGGGTCCCGGGTTTGAACTCCCGTCTGGCCGTGAGTTTTTCCTTTCCTACTACATTCGGTGCCTATGACCAACCCTTGTTTCCAGTACTAAGTGAATGCTTGACAAGGGGATACTCGAACCTTTGTTATAAATATTGTTATCTTTTGGGGCAAAGACTTAGAAAAAGGAGAGATATGTAGCGGAACTGGACTGGGTGAGCGCAGGTACATTGTAACCAGGTAGCTTAATTGATATGTCCCGGGTTCACACTCTGGTCTGGCCATGCATATTTTCTTTCTTACCACACATGATTTAAACAAATCAAAACGCTCTTTAACCAGGCAGTAATCACCAAGTGCATTTTCCTTCTTTGTCATAGTATGCACATTGAAATCAAGGCACGTTTCAAACTTTCATTTGGAAATCAGATATCTGCTTGGTGGGATCAACAAATTTGAACAAAACATGTTTAATTATTTAAAAGAATTCTTGATATGATATCTAATATCAAGCATGATATGCATACCTGTCTTGAGCCTGGAGGTCGTGGGTTGGATTCCAGTTGGGGTCAAAAATCACCACTCTGTTGGCACCGGTGAGATTGAGGCCGAGTCCACCAGCTCTGAAAATAATCAAATATGACATGGACAACTCTCAGTACACCAAAGCACAATTCCATACACGACAAAATACCACCCACAGGAGGCACGGTAGCCTAGTGGTAGGATGCAGGGCTCGTAACCGAAGGGTTGCGAGTTCGACTCTCGTCACGGCACTGTGTTGTGTTGTTGAGCAAGATACTTTACTCTGCTTGTTCCAGTCTACTTAGCTGTAAATGAGTATGTGGTTGGGTAGTGCAAGAATTGTAGAATGCTAGCTGTGAGCGCCGAAATGGCAGCAGCAGCTGTAGGGTCCCCTGGGAGTTGAGAAAGATATTGGCTAGTTACAAAGGCCCTATAACCTCAATTTTTTATTATTATTATCTAAGTACAGTGATCAGCTAGTACAATAAAGTACATCAACGTTCAACCCTTAGTAACATAGGTACAATTCTCAATACAACAAAGCACAGTTTAACCCTTGGACCCCTTTCTAGCTGAACCTGAAAAGAAAACTACAGACTCAAATCTGAATCTAGGCTGACCTCAGCAATATTCAGCACATAGATATTGATGGGTCCAGACGTGCTTGAACAAAACTAAAACACAGACTATTGTTAGTTTGCGTTATTTCTTTATAAAACAAAGTAGATTCACATGTACAGGTTACATTATACAAATCAGTGGAAGTGTGAAAGGAGGAAAAATTATTCTCGATATATAGTTATTCATTTGTGCATTTTTTAGCTCTGCCTACAGTTCATTCCAAGTGTGTTAGTTTATCACAGACTATTTCTGCGCCACCTGAACCGTTTCAACTGGGATACGTAAATGTGACCCTGGATCCATAAGAAAGTGGGTTTTCTTATTTGTTTAATGAAACATAGTTTTTCAGTGTTTCATATATCTTGTCAAAAACTTATAAAAAAATCCTTCTACTGATTTCTGTAATAGTAATTACATATATACCAGAGCATTTTTATAAATATTTAACCTTAGACTCAAACCTGAATGCATTGCTTAGTGAGAATAAAGGTAGAGAAGCACAGATCAATACCTTCATACTTACTTTGTAGAAATGAGGAAGATAAATATTGAGGGGTCTTTGTTGAACTCGCGAACCAGGTCCATGCGTTTCTTGGCACTGGTGCTGCCATCTAGCCTACGATACTCGTAGCCTGTGGTCATCATGTACTGTTCCAGGATGTCGAGTACCTAGTTCGCGATAAATCTTCACAATTAACAGTTATCAGTTAACATTTAAACTGCCAAAGCAACTACTGTACACTGGGAAATTTTCGGTCAGTCAAACTTTCACCCTCTGCTGGTAAAATCCATATTCGCAGTTTTCATTTCCCTCTTTACACTAAGTTACTTTGCTTATCATGCTGTTTACTTATACTTGCTGTTATGATAAATTTGCCCTCATCATAAAGGGCCAAAATGGCGGTAAATAATCCTATAATGCCCGGAAAACCATTTATTTCACTGGAAAACATGCGATTCCAATTTCAAGTCAGGGAAACAATTTCCACAAATAATGATGGCACTATGGCTATGCTAGTGTTGATCATGGTTAAATGACATCATTATCAGAGCAATGACTAATAAAAGCATGTCCAAGGTGTTGCTCACATGCCGGTTGAAATGTTTACAAACTCCTTTTATGTTTACTTAAGGAGAGAGAAAAAAAACACCTAGTCCAGTAGTTGTGGGATTTTGTTTTACATTTGGCACAGTTATAGTCTGATACACAATATAAAAGAAGTCATTATTCCATTTAAATTTCTTTGGGAGGCTAGGGGAGAGGGGGAAATCTGAATCACTTCAACTTATCAGCCATTCATCTATGTAGTTTAAAATTATTCATTCAGAGATTATGGCCCTTATAAGAACTGAGACAGAAAAAATGATGAATGGACTTACTCATCCTTAATACTCCAGGGGTAGCGCTCACTTTCGCTCTCTGCACCCCCGAAAATGTCATAGCAAACTTGAAGGCTCAGTGTGCACCACCTTGTGGATGAGAACATTAGTTTGATCCTTTGATGTACATCAAAAGAATCTGTCAGTTGCGTAACAGTAAAATTGACTTGCTCTGAAGTCGGGTGTCGCTTTTCTGTAATCTTCAAAGGACATTCCCAAGTTTCAGCCTAAGCAATTAGTCAGGTTTTATTTTCCTGAAACCAATCGAATAGCTAGTGTTGTGTGACCTTCAATTTTGTTATGACATATTCCAGCCAGGGGTGCAGAGAGCAAAAGTGACCTAACCCCTGGATTATCGTGGATTTTGGACTTACTAGACTCACCCGTTATATTTTTTGGAGTTAACCCAGTAATACTCAAGTACTCACCCTTGTGCTGTAGGAGAAGAGAAGCACCTTACTGTGGTCTTTATTGAATACTGACAGCAGCCCCTTAAGGATCTAGCAAAAGGTCAAAAGTCAAATTTTCATTATATATGTATCATAATTAAGCTATCACAACTAAATTCATTACAAGCATTTACAATATCCTTGAAACAATAGCGTTTATAACCTTCTATAGCCAATAACATTAGTATCTTACATTATAGTTACATATTTTTGCAAGTATTCAAAACGATAAACCCCAATTCTATCACATCAATGGTGTAATGACAGTTTTCCTGGATTAAAAACTTTTCAAAAGTCTTCATCAAGATTCTTAAATGTTGAAAATATAATTGACTCGGATAAAACATCCTTTTTACCAACACTTTTCACCCTCATTACATATTAACTATAATACATGCAGATATGCTGATCTGTTCTTTAAAACCCAAGAAAGAGGTTCCTGAGGAGTGACAAACTATAACATATATATTTATATATACATGTATATAAGGTCAAACCTGTACATTTGTATTTAGAGACCACCTTGGGGAAGTCCATTAAGTGGTCACATATTACAGGTGGTCTCTTTATACAGGTGCAGTTAATATTAAAACAACTAACTGCAACGGGAACATTAAAAGTGGTCTCTTCAACTTGAAAAAGAATGTCTAAATTGATCTCAAAAAAGTTCTCCTTTAAAGAAGGAGTGGTCAACCATTGAATTTCCCTGCCAAATCACGTTGTCGCATCATCAACAATAAAAAAACATTTGAAGCCCCGCTGGATAAGCACTGAGAACAACCAGAAAGTTTTTACAATCATGAACTTATTCACTAGAGGCTGACGATACATCTGATCTGGATAGAGGCATTTGTCTGCGTCCAGTATTATTACATTATTATAAACATAGGTGGTCTCTTATAAGAGGTGGCCATTCTAGCAGGTTTGACTTTACAGCTAAATGATCAGGTACCTTCATCTTGCCGCAGTATTTTGGGTCGGACAAGGTACGGAAGGCGGCCTCTCTGGTTTCACTGAAGAACTCTGGGAACTTGTCACAAATATACTTGGTGACCTCTTTAGAGAATTCTGTAAGCTGATTATTGGACTCTCTAGAGGAAACTAACAGTGCCACATGGTTAGCTATCTTCAACAGGATGTGCATGAATGTGAATCGCAGTTGTCTGGTAGAGAGGCCATCAGGGGTCTTCTGTAAAATTTGTCAAAAGGAAAAAATACAAACACAGTCAATGATATGATAAACAATGCCATACGTATCATATTCAAAGTCGATTGTAACGTATAACTTATTCACCCCTACATATTTAGACTGGACTTGCCCAGTCTTTGATTTGGTAAAGTTCAAATGCGACTTTAGGGGTGAATGGGTTAACACCATGATCACAGTACAATAAATATTACAAATCTTAGTTGACATGTCTAAAACCACATAATTTGATATTTCATTATTAGTATTAGGTAAGCGTGTCAATTTTACAAAAAAACATCCAATTAGTTGTTTAGTGTTACAGTATTAAGACTAGTCTTATAGCTAAACATGTGTCTTGTTTGTAAAAGTTCCCTCCTTTCACAAAAATGTATACAATATCAATTTTATGTGAGATATTGTATTGCTGGAAGACTATTTTGTTTCTTCTGTCACAAGTTTCAAGGGAACAATTGAGAAAAGACAAAACATGTATTTGTTAGCATTTGGATGATGGGAAACTATTTGATGTTTGAGCAAATAAATGTCAAATCAAATGAACCAATCACAGTTGACATTTAAGTCTTCACTGACATTGTGACAGCGTCCCTTGATGACATCACTTCCACAGTCACACGGCTGATCCATACCCAACACGAACCTCATCCCAGGGTGGCCAAGAACTGCCTGATAAACGGATGTCTGGAAGTCTGTCAGCTTACAGAACACTATGTTGTCATCTGGAAACAGGATAAATAGGCGCAGGTCAATGAGTGTGAGACATATGGTGGGAGTCAATGAGTGTGAGAACAACATATCCGAGTCAATGGGTGATATGGACAGATCAGAGTCAACTGATGTTACAGACAGGTTTTAGTAATGGGGCAACAGACAGATGCTGGTCAATGGATGGTTCAGACAGGTCTGAGTCAGTTGGTGTTACAGATAGGATCTGAGTAAATGGATATTACACACAAGTCTGAGTCACCGGATGTTACACACAGGTCTGAGTCAACGGATGACGTTACACACAGTTCCGAGTCAACGGATGACGTTACACACAGTTCTGAGACAATGGATGACGTTACACACAGGTCTGAGTCAATGGATGTTACACACAGGTCTGAGTCAATGGATGTTATACACAGGTCTGAGTCAGTTGGTGTTTCAGACAGTTCCGAGTCAATGGCTGTTACACACAGGTCCAAGTCAATGGATGTTGTAGACAGGTCTCAGTGAGTAGATGTTACAGACAGGTCTGAGTCAACGAATGTCACACACAAGTCTGAGTCACTAATTACTCACAGGTCTGAGTCAACGGGTGTTACAGATCTGTTTCAAAGGGAATATGAATGACAGATCTTGGCTATATATAGTAGACACCTATTCTTCAGTTTAACAACAAGATTTTAAAAACTTATTTCAATTTAGTTGAGTTATAGCATGTCAACTGTAATAGATTTTGTTCTGAAAATGTTGATTGTTGATTTCCTTCAAAAGCTCTTCCTAAAAATGCCTTTCCTGAGGTGTCTGAACACTTTGTTGCTAACCTTTGTTGGGGAGCTGGTCTGATATTATATCTTTTGTCCTTCGTAGTAACATCTTGCTTCGCCTCTCTCCAAACTCTTGGTTTTCTTCAATGTATTATATACACCTTTTAACAATGGCTATTACACTAATACTAACAATATATTATATACCACTGAACATTATTCTATACACAATAATGAAAAATGTTGGATAACTGTTACCATGACAACTGTTGAACAACAAACTACTATTATTGATTTCAATGATAACCTCCAAAATACTGTGATAGAACGTTTGGGTGATTATAGTTTCCCTTCCGTTGTCAAGAAAGTGTGATCTTACAGAAAGTAAAATTGTTAGCGAATGATCAGCTCCTTATTTTTCAATAAAGCACCTCACTTCTACCCTTCTAGGACATCAATAGTCCTGGCTTTAACTACAAGTTGACAATTTGAATTCCTATGAAATATGAATTATACTTGTCATCGAGTAATTATCTTGTAATATTAAGTAGCAGTATTGCAAAATAACAAATAAATATCACAAAACAAAAGAAACTGTTACTTTTTCTTGCAAAAGCCAGCTCTCTTTTTGTTGTGGTTTTCTTCTGTCCCTTTTCTATGGGGTCTACGTATTCTTCCTTGAAATCCGACAACGGTCCAAGGCATCCAGGCTGGGCCCTTAAAATAGATCAACATAAAGATATTCAAATGTGATAAAATGTGCAATGCTTATCGAAAGACGCAGCTCTGACGTGTGAAGGGACTAAATTTTTGCTGTGTTTTAACACAGAGACAGGATAGTCGCCATTGAAAGTGACATAGTAAGATGACTAGGCTTCGTTACATCATATTGAGCAACAACAAGTAAGAGTATTTTGTTAAACAAATTCTCAACAAAACTATTAGATGTAGGTTACAATCTATTTTCAAACATCTTGTATGCCTTTTCATGTATATAATAAGTCATTACAACCACATGCTCACTATTTCCTGATGACATTAAGGTCATCGACCCGAGAAAATCGCGAAAAGCATGAAATATCCAGGTGCATTATGATATTCACAAAAAGAAAAAGATTTACCAGTTAGTATTGAATGAAGACCACTATTTAAACAGGAATTACGTAAGAATAGTAATTAAAGGGAGACAACACACAGAAAATAATGTAACAGCATTTATGGGAGTCCATGAGAATAATACTATGATAACAGAGGCAGCCTAGCCACAGAAATAATGTTGTAGTGCTATTCAAGTGAGACTACTTGACAGAAATATTTACTGATATTCAAGGGAGGTTACTGAGATCTAAATCCTGTAATTATAAGGTCACACCCTACTGTTACTGACCAGTCCAGTATGCTCCATAGCTCTAACATACTGTTCTGTAGTGCTGTTCCCGTCAGTCCAAATCTCCTCATACACTTTAACTTTCTCAAGGATTTTGTTACTTGAGCCTTCAATCCCTGTCGAGGAAAAATTCACTTAAGCTCAATCAAAGTTCATACAGAAACTTGGCACAAGTTTATATTAAGCACTACTAAAGGGTTTTTTTAAGCTAACTAACTGCAATTTTCAAAAAAACCTTAGTAAATAAAAGCACTTTTATCTTTTAAGTGTGTACTGCGAGGTAAATTTAACCATGTCAATCGTATGGACGACGAAGGTCAAGTATTTAAAATTGCACATATTATTTAATATTGTATATATTACGAAATTGACTGTTATTAATTGTTTTGCCCACAAATAAGATACAATGTAAATAAGTTGTACCTTGATCCTATGAACCTCGTCCACGAAGATGGCATCCCACTCTACTTCATTGAGCTCTCTCTGTTAATATTAATGTAAGTGAATGATGATAACAATGGCAGAAAATGACAAAAGCAAAATAATTAGTTTTTCTTAGATTTAAAATAACAGCACTGTACAATGTAACTACACTATAATTAAAACCATCCAAAATCCTAGTACACGCATCAATATTGCTGATTCACATTCACAACTATATCAGGTGTTGCCAATTCTGTGTTCAAGAAAATTAGATAATTTCTGTCTACACTAGATTCCACCAGTGCTTCTTGAACAAAAAAGGATTGTAAGTCCACAAAACAATGTAGTATCATGATATCCAATATACAAATACATCTGATATTAACATACCTATCTAATCAGACTAAAAAATATTGATGCAGGGATAGAGAGAAGAGACCCATCCTATCACCCAATCTCTCTCTCTAACCTTGCTCCAGCCTTTGTTGTGGGAGATAGTATACCTAGTACCCAGCAGCAAAAATAATTAAATACTAAATATAATGAAAAATAAAGATGCCGAACATGATGAAACATGTAGATAAACAAGTAAAAATCACAAACTTTTCTTGAGGTGTTGATCATCCTTTATTTTTGAGTATGCTTTATCAGTGAGGAACTCTAACGATTCCACCCTACGGATCATCTTTAGAATGCTACCACAATTTTTGACATAAGAAATGTTCGATCACCTTATTTATTTATCCTTTATTATTAAAATTAAATACTATTATTTCGTTATAGGACAGGGCCTATTCTGATAACTCTTCAATATATCAACTGGCATACCCACCCAACCTATCATCAAAGGAAAGTATCTACTCACCCTATTGTCACGGAAGGTTTCGTAGGTTGTTACAACCACCTCAAACTTTCCACGCTTCGCGTCAGACAGACATCGCTCTTTTTCTGCGGCATGGTATTTGCTGTAGAAGTAAAAACAAAATTTATATTAACTACACTGACACTTCATACACTATTAACCCTTTCACCACTGTAGACCATATAATGGACCCCTCCATATCAATGCATGGTAGAGTCTACTAAAGTTACATAGGGGGTGAAAGGGTTAAAGGGGGAAAAAAATGGTATTCCCTGTCAAAGACTTGTATGATATCTCATATTCAAGCATAAACAGTCTTTTTATACATGGCATTCTGAGTGAAGGTCAAACACCAAGGTCACTCATCTTACCCCACGGTAAAGTAACCCCACACCTCCAGTTCATCCAGCCAGTTGTATAGGACACTCCCCGGACCAATGATCAAGAACGGGCCATGTTGAGGGGCTCCAGTGTCCGACAGGGACATAGCATCTGACATCTGGTTAAGTGCAGAAATAGAAAGAAAAACCATGAAATATTACAGCACAGTTTACAGTGACTGTTTCTCAGTGTATCGTTTCATATATTGATTTATGGATCTCCATACCACTGCCAAAAACTGTTACTAAGTATTGGAAATTGTTTCCCCCCCCCCGTGTGATTATAGCTTGGACTATTCATTTCTGAAAAAAAACATATATCTTGTGGTAATTTTTTGAGAAATGAAAAAGATGAAATAAACAAAATATTATCAACAACAGTGATCTGAGTGTAATATAAACACCGCGGGGCTAGTCCAGGATTTGAAGTCTGAACCTCAGACTGCTTATTACCTGTTGCTCTAACCGATTGAGCTACCTAGTCAACGGTAATGTCTTGGTCCAATTGCTCTACACTTTTATCCAAACAAAGGAGAGCTAGCTGTATATAGGAAAAACTTGAAGACAGACAGTCAGACGTTTCACAAACCGCGAAAAGAACTAAAATAGACAGGATTTCATGATTTTTAGGCTGCATGTAAAATGTCGATATTCCTATTTCAACTGGTCAACAAGACACACCTAGGGTATTTGAAAATGTTTATGTCGATATTCCTCTATTAACAACGACATTTCTGATAAAAAAAATATTCTTATTACCTGTCTGACTACCTGTCAGAATATAGAAGTCGGAATTACTCACAACTTATACAATTACCTGTCTGACATACTGCAAACTTACCTGATATACTCAGACCTTATATTACCTGTCTGAGATAATAAAAATCTTAAATAACTTACAACTTACCTGAATTACCTAGCTAACATACTCTGAACTTAAGTACCTGTCTGACATACTCAGAATTCACCTGTCTGACATACTCAGAACTCACCTGTCGGACATACTCAGAACTCACCTGTCCGACATACTCAGAACTCACCTGTCTGACATACTCAGAACTCACCTGTCTGATGAACTTTGGCTTTTGTTTCTGTACATCTACTTTGTTTCCTTTCTTATGTAACAGAGCAGACAGCAATCCAATCACCTACAAGAAATTACAATAAGAAAGTTCACAGATGTTTGAAAGCATCAATATAACAGAACTTCAATATCTTTTTGATAAGAAATTTATTCTGTTTTTATTTTCTTCCATTTTCAGTAACAGTGATCTTGACCTTATCAGATCTATAAATCTTCCCTGAATTCCTTGAATGTTGATCAACCCAAATGACAATAATGAGGCAACCAGATGCTTGTCTATATCGGCCCACAACAGTCTTGGTTGTATGACTATACATCTGCAGTATATATCTCCATCTATCTGTATATCTCTTCCTGGTTACACCTGGTAGTTTACCTGGACAGTTTTACCGAGGCCCATATCGTCACCCAGGATTGCCCCTCTGTCCCTCCTGTAGTGTCTGTACATAAACTTGATCCCATCTCGCTGGTAGTCCCTTAAGTACTGGTTGATTGTCGCAGGGACCTGTCGTTTTGAAGGTTTTAAAGGGTTTTAAAGTGTTTTAACAAACCCACAAAAATGCTGTATAAATTACCATGTAATTCCTGTGAATATATTGTCAATAATTTATCATTATTGCGACATAAAAAAAATTATACTGTATTACTATCAAAATACTTGGTTACATTATAAATATAGCTAACAAAATATCTATAAAACTAACATCCCTCGCTCTGGTGTCTGTGCCAGATTTACCCTGCTATATTTGCCATCATAGCCTAAAAATGGTTAAAATACTATTTTAAATAGAAAATTTGGTTTTTGCACCTGCACAACACACCTGTACCTGTTGTACATAAAGTAAGTAAAGGTAATCAGTTTGTATGACATAGTAAACAGTTTTACACCTGTCCATACTTACCTGTACAGGGTCCGTGTCTGCAGTACCTGTTGATAGTTGAAATGGTATCTTGGCTGCAGAAAGAGTAAATTTAAACCTTGGCTTCTCCAGTTCTTCTTCATCAAATCCTGGTAAGAATAAACGAAAATTACACTCCATATGTTCAAATTATATCTCATCTATACAATAGCTTATCTGATTGGATTAAATTGATCACATGACAGGGAAATGAAAACTTTTGTCGCCCTTATGCGGTCAAGATTCCCATGTTATGCTTCCCTTTTCAAGAGCCTCTCTAGAAAAATGGACAAGAGCCAACCGAGTTCTGAGTAAATGAAACAGCCATTAACATTGGCCATATTTACCGGTGTTATTGTTTCTATATTCAGTACATTTATTGCTCAAGTGGTAGAGAAACATGATTTATTTTCGTTTCTCCTCTATTAATCTTCACTCGGGCTTTGCCCTCATGTAACAGGATTAAACTTAACTTAAAATTGTGTTTCCCTACAACAAGGGCAAGAAATGTACAATATCGCATGCTATAGGTGTTTGTTTTAAATTCATTGAGAGACAGGTTATAATTTTATCGTCATATGGTATTTAGGTTATATACTACTACATCATTACTACCCACCGTCACATCCTACCGTCCTCCTGACCTCTTCCTCTTCCTCATCACTCTGTATCTCTGCCTCCAACCTTCTCCCCCTGGAGACTGTAACTTCAGCCAATGATTGCCCAGTGTGTGGGCTCAAGCCTCCTGCCGACCTAGATTTTGGAGTGTTTCCGGCTGTCTTGCTTCTATATGGCCTATCGTGTTTTTGCAGACCGATAAAATATGATACAAATTTAATCATGCAAGTTTAGATATAGACAAAAATATACCAGGCTACTATTACAATTATTTACCACTACAGGAGTGTACTGTCACACATACCACAACAAACAATACATGTACCACCGCCACCACACAAAGACACACACACCACTAGTACTACCACCATACAAAGCAACCATTTACCACTATCACCACAGCATACCAGCACCAGCACCATACATACCACAACAAACACCACTTACCACCATATATACCACATCACAAATACCACATACCACTACCACCATAAAGTAACCATTTACCACCATAACCAAAGCATACCACCACCAGCACAATACATTGTACATACCACAACAAACACCACTTACCACCGTACATACCACGTCACAAATACCACACACCACCACACAAAGACACACACACCACATACCACCATGTACACACCACCACACATACCACCATACAAACAACCCCACTAATACCACATACCACGACAAACACCACATTCCACTGCCACCACACAAAGACACACACACAATTACCACCATACAAAGCAACTATTTACCACCTCACCACTACATACCATCAGCACCACCAAACACACCAGTCCACACATCTCCCCCCACAAAAACACCTATACCACTATCCTTATCACTGAGCAATGAGATTTACCTCTTCCCCTGACTAGGCTGCGGTCTGGTTTTAGGGGCCCCTCCCTTGGCTACCACTCCTTTGGTCTTTTTCTTTAATACATGACTGTCCTCTGCCTCCTCCTCCTCCTCATCTACATCGGCGTACTTGTCACTAAAATCATATATAGAGGATATTTGATGGTTTCTTGTTGAATCTATGCTAGATAAATGTATATTTAAGCTTCCAATTTTTCATGCCTATACTAGAAAGTGTTGCCTTCTACCAAACTGCTCTGAATGGAAGATTTGAAAGAATATCTAATGTATTCTTAGTAAAGCATCTTCATTCCTAGGACTCGCACAACTAAATCAGCCAATCAGCAAGAGTATCATACGATTGTAATCCCTATACCTAAAATTTGTTCTGGTTTAATACAGTGCCTCTGAGTAATTCAAATAGTTAATTGTTGACATATTTTACATTGAATAAAATCTACAGATATTTAACTTAACAAAAATGTATACTTTTGGTAGATTCTAATATGTGGTGGCGGATTGATATGTGATCAAATGTCAGGTTCACGTCCCGCTCCACCGGTTTGGCTTGTAAATTTCCGGTTGTCCAAAGCAGACGCCTGTAGTGCTCCTATGACTTATTTGCCACTAAACCCACCAAAAAATGACATTTGAAGCCTTTGTCAGGTATGTATCTGTGAATCTAGACAGTTGTCAAATATTAACGCTATTTTCTCAAAAGCTTAGTAATGACATATAGTAAATGATCATAATAAAAGTCTTTATTTAAACTTGATTACATATTGAGTCAAAGACTCGTCTCCCATATGGTCAAGCATATTAAAAACTGTACATTATATACAACAATGAGTTGTGCGAGTCCTTCTAACAACAGGTTTGATTTTTGTTTTTGTTTTTAAAAACAAAATATCTTCAGTCATCAATGGATACCAATGTCTTTATCATTCAACTTCCTCCAACTATAGTTAATATACCTTAACCAGGAAACCTGTTCCTTTCCATCCAGAGGCTGAAATAAGCTTTCACTGTTCCCAGGTGGTTCTATGATACAGACATCTGAAAATATAAATACATAGTCATTGTCAGTGCCAGCTGTTTAAGTTACTTAAACTGACCTTCAAAACTGGTAGGTCTGGATCATAAACTCAGGTTCCACACTTCATATCACTTTACACCATTAAGCTACATGCCAAATAGCATGACCTTTCGCCTCTAGCCTTCAGAAGAAGTGAAAGTTTCAACAAATTCAACCCATTAATATACAACATTTGATATAGCGTCCTATCTAGCTAACCTAAGCCACTCTAAAGCGCTTTACAGTACATAGATATACAATTCTTACAATCAATACATTTTAGCATACATTAATCCATACATTTTTTGAGGAATTTCCATGAGCTGCCTTATCAGACGCTAACTACTAGTTCTATACCACCTGGCTGATATCTCCCTATGTGTGTATGCCTGTGTGTGTGCTGGAGATGTATTGTGTTCTGTTTGTAGTGGGACCGTGCTTCCAACGGTATCATTTAAAGTGCCACCTCACTTGAATGCAACAGCACAGATACCGCTACATCCACCCCAGACCATTTTATACTCCACCTGGGTTGTTGGAGTTGGGTGGGCAGGAGAAAAACACTTTCTCTGAATATTCCATGCGTACGACGCTTTCGGGGATCGAACCCCGGCCACCTGCGTGGAAGGCCGAGGTGTTAACCACTCGACCAATCCATCCATTAAGTTAGGGCCAAGGTCATTCATCAAACTACAGAATTATGGACATATGTGATATGACAAACTTTCAAACTGTATGTCATTCATATAAAAATAATATGATAAGGCACAGGATCTTCAGAAATAATGTCTAATAAACTACATTCTAGAAAAACATATTTTTTCAAAACATTTTCATGATCATATGATAAAACATTTTAACATTTGTTTCTATTTCTTATGAAATTCATGAAACACATCACAATTTCCATATCAACTTGCCAAAGACTTACCATGAAAGGTCATGTTATGTTGCTGGTATGTATTGTAAGGTTGTTTTCTCCTTTTTTCTCCTTTGTCTTCTTGAACATGTACATGTATATATATGTGTATACTGATTTGATACCGAGATCATGCAAACCAAGATGCAACATGATCTTTCAGGTGTTTGTTCTTTGCTAGATTTTCCAATACATCTTGAACTGAAGCATGCACAACTATAGACAATGGGGATCATGCATACCAATCAATTACCATCATGATCCTTTTAGTGCTTTCATGAAAAAGCGGTAACAAACTTCAAATGGAAATTCAAGAAATTTGATATCGGGCGCTGACGGTCATTTTGACCACTGTAAGCAATCAATTTCAACTAGGACCAGGCACAAATACTCACTGGACTGATCATGTACACCAAGTTTCACCATGATCCCTATATAACTTCGAGTCATTTCTGAGAAACAACGGTAATAAAAATTGTTTACAAACAGATACTGATCTATACTCACAGACTCCACATTATGCGATTTAAACAGCCCACAATGTGTGGGCTAGAAGTTCTTTTACGAAATGATCTCATATAACAGAGTGCTTGTGATAATACTTTTTTTTTTTTTTTTAAATGGGAACATTATTGCACTCTGTCATAGTTTTACATCCTTACCTGGTGAAGGTTTTTTCCAGGCAATTTTCAGGAGAAAATTTACATCAACATCCTCCGTCTCATCTGAGCAGTAGCCATCAAAACTAACGGTAGCAATCACATTGCCTTGTTTCCTTTTCAGCTTTTTTATTGTAGCCACATAGTATTCAGTATCCTTAGAATAGGGGGCCCTGCACAGCTCTCCTATGCTCCAAACTGTTAAAAATAAAAATACAAAATTGCATAATCAAAATCAGAGACGTATATAAATATATATGGCTGTATATATACGTCTCTGTCAAAATGCATCATTTGAACAGCACTATATGTTTGAAGAAATGGAAGTCATGTATCAACTTATGACATCTTATATTAGTTTTTGGCTTGACTATAGTTCAAACATGTAACAGGAAGGGGAATAATGTACAGCCAGACTGGTGTTTGAACCAGAGACCCTCTGAGCTCTAGCTAGACTGAAGCAGACACCATTTGTAACAGGAAAGAGAGTAGTGTACTTATTAGAACGTTTTTAACAACCTGCACTGACGCACACGCTGCACAGAGTACTCGAAAGAGGGCGTAACAGTATTTACAGATAGTACAGATAGATCATATAGAGTACGATAGATTTTAGAGTGACGAGGTAGCTCAGGGTAGTTTAGCCTCACCAACTCACAAATGACCATGTATTTCATTTAAAATTTCAACAAAAACTGGTATTAAAGTTCATATGGCTATAGAATCTAGACCTCTCAGATATGAATTTACAATGTTCAGTAAAAAGAGGAGACAAACTTGTGTTGGTGGTCCTTCCGAAATGTGTTTAGGCGACTTTACATCTTACCTTTCTCTAGACCATCGTCACTAGATTGAAACATTTGATAAATTTAGTGCTACTGTTGATACAGAACAAGTGATAAGACGAAGGGCCATCAGAGCCAGTCGAGGCGAACAGTTGGCTCAACTACCGCAAATACATCAAAATGAAACTGCCGGGCAAGTGAAAATATGGAACGGAATAATGAACGTATTCAGAGGAGTTCCAGACGTTTCGCCCCAAAACCGTTTCGTCCAAAAGACCATTTCGACCCAACTTTATTTCACATCGCTCATTTCGCCCCAAGTATGACAATCATATTGTCCTAAAATTCTTTATCGACCCAACCGCTACGAACCTATATTAAACGATATCTGATCTTGTGAAAGTGGCGGTAATTATTGCCAGTTCACTTAAATATTAATGATTAGGCATTATTTTTTTGCATTAATATTTGTTTTAACGTTCATATGTATTGGTTTTTTTTTAATATTAAATGTTTTGATGAGTTCTTATTAGATGGCACCGATTAGTTTTAATTGTATGTTGATGAAAGAGATCGTCAGTCAGTTTGTGAAAAGTAAAAGATATGCCGAATGATGTGTCAATTGAGTTTCTGCCCTAGCAATTCGCAATTCGCATTGCGCACCGACCTTCCATCGTTATGGAAGACCAGTACGTAGTACGTAGAATATGAAATACTTATTATCATATGCCAAATGCTTACTATCTACTAATCTTTTACGAAATGTAGTATCCAAAATTTCCAGAATACCAATATCTTGTCGAAAAGAATCTACTTAATATTCTGGAAACAACAAACTCAAACACGAGTTTTTAGAGCGATTTTTTTAAGTGGTGAAGTAAGTCATTCTGTAAGGAAAGTCCCTATCGGTCGCACTCAGAACACCTATGGAACATGGCAATAAGGATTGAACTGAACTGGATTGACTGCCAGCGGGACCCTGCAGGTAGGGCGTAAGAATTGTACCTGCTGCCCCCAATTGCATGATCGTAAGAGGCGACTAAATTTGGGACCTTATCTCTTCTCTCCTTTCTAAATAACTTTCTTCTTCCTAATGTCTCCCTTGACAATGCCTCACTTTTGGCCATTTGTTGAGCGTTCGCCCCTGTGAGGAAGGCTTTGGGTTCTGTCCCCTGGCCGAGACATACCAAAGTCTTTAAAAATGGTAGTTTCTACTCCTGCTTAACGCTCAGCAAATTAGGAGTGGGACGACTGGTTCGCCCGTTGTCAGTATAATGTGACCGGGTGGGGCGTCCTGCTGGGTGTCTTCGGCAGTATGTTTCAGTGAGGTAGCACTATAAAGTCGGCATCAGTTCCGCGCTATTACAAGAAGACAAACACGAACATATCGCAGCCTCCCAAAATACACACACATACACTACACGCATGCATCTTGCACACAGGGAAGGCCGTCCTTAAATGACCTTAGCTGTTAATAGGACGTTAAACAAAATCAAACAAACAAACAAACAAAGACTGCCAGCGTCCGTCTATAATTAAGAAGTCCCTGGTTTGAATCCCGGTCTATCCGTATGTTTTTACCTCTCCTGTTACATAAATATAAAAAATAAATCATCGATGTTCCGCGAAATGCGCTCGGTACCTTAGGTTATTCCATATTTTTCAACATCTAGAGCTGTTTAAGATCATTTCTGGGATTCATTGCGTCGTTTGACTCATACAGTGCAGACCATGGGACATTTGGTTATTGAGAAGTCGTCGTTTACATATCTTAACACATTTGACCCCGTGACCTTGAAAGTGTCTCAAGGTCATTCGTTTGAACAAACTAGATAGGACTTTATCCCAGCATGGTACTGGCCGGATTCCATCACCATTGAACTTTCAGTTATTGAAAATATGTTATTTACATTTTTTAACATATTTCAACCCCAGTTATAAAAGTTGCGTGGATGTCTGTACAATATCATTTATTTAAACAAACTTGGTCGCCCATCACCCAGCATTCAACTGGCCCAATATAGTCACTCTGTGGCTTTTGGCTACATATTTGACCCCTGTGACCTTGAGTCAAAATCATTCATTTGGTCAAACATCATCACATTAGGTCAGTCGGTTATTAAAAAGAAGCTGTTTATTCGGATGCAATACCACGGCATAAGCTCGCTTCGCCCTTCTGGCCTGGTGATCATGATCTGAAAGCAATATTACGATTAATGTACTGCGAAAATTTAAATTTACGTGGTGTGGAAATGTTCATGTATATTTTCGCGTTGAGTAAATTAGCGCGAAAATATATACAATTCTAAACCATTGTCGACGCTAAAATTTCCACACTGTTTAAAGAGTCTATACGTGAACATTTCCACACGCGAAAAAATCACTTTTACAGTATCTGGGAACATAGATGGTGTGACAAGATTTGTTCTCCTTTAAGTGTAGAACGTGTATATCATGTCAGGTATGTCTTGGAATTCACCTGTACTATATGACAGCAAATATGACGCATACATTGTATGTGGGGTTAAAAATAGACTATGAACGTGGCAATGAAGCGTATAGACCGATTCAAGGGAAATTGATTAGTAGTAATTTGCGTGATAAAAAAAAGAAAGACATTCTCCAATTCAAGATATCATCAATTATTACTCTTAAATGTACGTTTATATCAGTCCTGCTTTTGATTTTTCACCTGTTTCACCCAGATCATGAACGAAAATAATTTCCAGTATTCCTTCCTTTTTACAAATGCACACATATTTCTGTATGTGGTTTCAACAACTACGTAACGCACCGTAGCTCCATTTGTCGGATATTTTATTGTCGCAGGATTTGGTTTAATTCTGAAGTACTTACTTTGAACATTTTGTATCATCCGTGAAAAACACTACGGGACCTATAACAGACCCTTGTGGAACTCCCGATGTTATACCTTTTCCATTCGCAGACAAGAAGGCTTTCCGGATTAGCCCCCAAAGACTCAGTTTGATTTGAAACAGAAAGTTTTATCTCACTGAAAAAGTTTATGTCGGGTTATAATTGTGAAAGGAAAACGAAAATGTGACTCCAGAAGTGGTCTCAATGTGAAATACCATGAATTTGGTCAGGTATGAAACAGATTCTACCAAACTTGAAATAAGACTTCTTTCTTGGAGAAAAACAAGCCAGATGGTCATGTTATAGTGTATTTTTAAAACAAATATTGGGCAATTGTAATTCTAGATTCAATATTCACATGAATTGTAGGTGTATTTACATGTATGATGACTCTACTGTTCTGAAATATATTATAGTGTTACGATATCGGTACGCGTGTATATAATCTAATTATTTTATACAGTGTATATATAATCTAAAATTACAAATGCATGCCTAACATATACAGATAATATAGATATGGTAAGTTATCGATCTACGGCACAAAAAATTATGTCCCAAACCACAGGGACCTGATAATTTGTTACAGCTATATTTGGACCTAAACTAAGGTGTTCAGAGTAATTTTACATGTTTTGGGGGTTTAGATCGACTTTCGCTAAATCTTACACCCCAATGATTATATATATACGAGCTAAACCATGTAAAATTACTCTGAACACCTTAGTTTAGATCCAAATATAGCTGTAACAAATTCTCAGGTCCCTGTGTCCTAAACTTCAAACAAAATGCAACAGACTTTTTTTTTAATTTCTATCTTTAAGAATGTCACATAAAAGGTAGATATTTCACTTAAAAAAATGTCAAATAAGTGACTTCAATGGAAGAATATTTTGGGGCGTTGTAGTTTTTTGGGACGAAATAGTTGAGACGTTACGGTTTTAGGGCGAATCGTCCGACACCTATTCAGAGATTGGCAACGATCGGGCCAGCATGTGAAAACTTACTCGTAGTAACGCTCAACCGCTCAAATAATTGGAGCACATGTGCTTGTATAGATGAATGGTCATTTGCGAAAAAGATAGCCCACGAAAACCACGGAATTAGATAGAATCTAATTCTGTGTTGGAACTAACAACACTGATGGTTGAAACCTTCCGCGTTCCGTTCCAGCTTTTTCAAATTGCAAAGTAGCATTTAGTTCAGACACGCACTAGTCAAACAAAGGGTTAATAAAATATTAGCAAAATACTATGGTAACGTTAATAATTATTGCATGATCACTTGAGCAGTTAATAAAGTTTGGGTATATTTATTGAACCAACATATTTACAAATAATGATTTCTCCCAAGGAAATGTAATAAGAGTTTTGATTGGACGAAGGAAACTAATGTTAACCAATCGTGTCATTTGTTATAACAATGACTATTGAAGAAAGTTGAAGGATGGCTGCAGTGTGCGACACTGTTAATAATTTATTTCATTTACTGGTAAGATTACCGAAAATAATTAATTCGTTGTCAATTACATGTCATATAAACACGGATCTATAAAATTTCCCGTGAACAGACTGCTTTCAGTTTCCAGTTGTCATGTATGAGTCGGATTTTGGTGGGGCATGTTCAGGATACTGTGACGATACATCGAAACCGAAACGTTTTCGGTTTAAGTACATAGTACGTTTCGGCTCTATTATGACAATCCCCACCCCACCCAACCCATGGGTACTGGTAGACAGCTTAGTAAGTCTCGTCGATGGGGACTGCTTAACCACTTGGTTGCCCAGGCCTTCAGTTTCCCTCATATGGGGCTGTGGTAGTAATCAGAAATCCTTCATTCCGGTATTCAATAATTCAACTACAGTACTGTACAATACAATAACGTTATAGTATTGTAACAGGAGAGGAAAAATGCACGGCCAGACCAGGGTTCGAACCCGGGACCCTCTGAACAAATGCTCTACCAATTGAGCTATCTGGTCGCCGACGATCAACCCAGTCCAGTTCTGCTACATTCCTCCCTCCTTTAACAAAGTCTTCGACCCTGAAGACACATGAGACCCTAGCTATACCACCTTATGTTGGTATATTTCGTTGGGCGCCAAATGTAACAGGAGAAGGAAAATGCACGGCCAGACCAGGGTTTGAATCCGGGACCCTCCCAACTCTAGACGAATGCTCTACCAATTGAGCAAAATGGTCGCCGACGATCGACCCAGTCCAGTTCTGCTACATTATTACTGGAATGGGGAATAATAAAATAAAAAAATAACACATAGTTCTTCTAAGCATTAGAAACAAAGTGGTGTCATTCTTACAACAGTAATACAATAATAACAGTAATCCTATATTGTATGTCACTGTACAGTTGCATTGGTGATCTGTACATTTACTTTCCTTCTTTTATTATTACACTTATTTTCCTAAATTTCTGTCGTCGAGCACAAATATTATTAATGTTTATCAGTGTCAGTATCAAACTTTCAGTAGATCTGTATATAGCTATAAGGAATCCATATAAGACCTATTTTCTATAATGTGTATATTAAACTCTAAATTCTGAGTCTGCATATACATTAATACATAATGTTGGACTTGGGCTAATGTTGGTATCAGAGAATAGTCCGCCAATACACTGTATGTTAAAAACCATTTAAAAAAAGTGTATGATTAATTTCAAAAAGTAGGCAGGTCAATACATGTTCGCAGTGCAATATAATCAAATATTAATCTTTGTTCTAAAGGGGATGGGGATTCAAAGTGTTTACTTTTTAGACTATTTTTGCTGGCAACTTGATTTTAATTAGAACAGGGTATACATAAGAAACAGTCTGACTTGACAGGCTGAGGGTGGTGAATTTTTCAATTCATTTGCCCAAGATGCTTTATTTTAATTTCATAAAAAGTAAATTCAAAAGTATGCATATCTCCTGTTCTTACCTGGTGTCTGCCAAAAGTTAAAAAAAAAAAATGTAAGCAGAGGCCTGTTTTGTTTCCTTGTATTCACACCTCATTTCCATGAATAGGTTGTACTTCTTGCTTACATTTACAATTAATCCCAAAACAGTGTATTGCACCAGACTGGGGTATCCAGCAGTGATGGGAAATTCTATCTGACCAATGGGTCTGAATCATTAATGCAAGGGGAAAAACTATTGTCACTGTGACTGGCACTGATTTTTATAATACCTTTATTAATTTTGCCCAAAAGGTAGGAAAAAATGTTTTTCTTAGATATTTAATTTCATCCCTTGGATTTAATTCACAGTATCTTTACCTCACCACAGGGAAAGATTCTATTTCACCTCATTAAACCAGTGGTGCTGTGATAGTTACAGTGAAGAAAATATTGTCACATAAATAATGCTTTACAATCAGATGACATCACATTTAAGTATTAATGTTGCTGCAATGACAATTAACATTTACACATTTTCACCATTAGTTCCCTTATATAATTACATTGTGTGTGTGTTAAATTCAAGAAATAAGCTGTAGCTGATTCTGTCCCCTTAAAACAATGGAAAGTAATTAACAATCATTTGGCTGATACTTTCTCCCTTATAATTGATAAGGGAGAGAAATAATGGCAAGCTTTTTTTTCTTTTCGGTGAAAAGAGAAGGCTAGCTGATTTTCTCCCAGAGAAAACTTTCAGATTGGGAAAGAAATGACTATGTACATTTGATGTTGGGCTAGTGGAATTCTTCACCCCTGTTCTTCTCCTATACCAACGGTTGTAGGATAGAATCAACAGTAAACTTATATCACTTGTAATATATACGAGAAAGTTGTGTATACAGCAAAACATTTGTTGAACTAGAGGAAATAAACTGAGTATTTGGAAAAGGAATCTAACATTTTTGAGAAAGATACTTATAGATAGCCTTCAGTTGTATGTACAAGAAATAAACTCGTTTTTATGCGAAAACATCTCATGATATGTGTGAGAAAGAGAGTCACGTGTACCAAAACAGTTTTATTATAACTGTCTTGTAAGATCAATGCATAAATATGTAAATGTATGCCAAGAGTGTTCATGATATTGTTTTAAAAGTAGCATATATCTTTTTTCAGATGTTGTAAAGCACCATGGATGACAGTTCCAACAGGAGAAAGACGAGGTCGTCCGGCAGGAAGAAGGCGAGTTCTAAGGTAGCAGATGGTCCGGACACCAGCCAGATGCCTGATGGAGCCGAGGCGAAGAGTAAGCCTAAAGGAGCATCTCCTGGGCGATCCTCACCGGAACCGGACTGCGCAATATGTCTTGGGCGCCTCCAGAACAAGTCGTTCACTGACCGCTGCTTCCACATGTTCTGTTTTGTGTGTCTGCAGGAATGGTCCAAAGTCAAAGCAGAGTGTCCGCTGTGTAAGCAGAAGTTCACCAGTATCATCCACAATGTGAGGTCTAACGAGGACTACGACCAATACCCCATCCCGCCAAAGATTCCCTCATGGGAAGAACAGGCCCGGAACTTCCGCTATCACACAACACTCACCCTGGAGCGACGACTCCAAATCAATATTCCTGATTTCCGGCAGCATCCACAGTACCAGGAACATGATTACACAATCCAGCGACCCAGTATCCATAACCACATGGCTACTCGGTCACATTGGCGCCGTCAGAGACAGACCTCCAGCTCAGACTTCCGCAGGAGGATCTACACAAACAATATGAGATTAGTGGATGTAACAGATCCAAGAATGCGTACCAGAGACACAACCCCAATGTTTTACAGTCGTAATCCAGCATGTACACACAGGCTTGTCCCATGGTTGAACCGAGAACTCAATGCTCTTCTCCAGAGCCAGAATGACAATGTTCAGTTTGTTCTGGAACTCATAATGGGGTTGATAAAGAGTATGTCCATCACAAGTGAAGACTTTTACCAGGGTATTTACCCGTATGTTGGCCGATATACACGACATTTCATGCAAGAGTTTGAAAACTTTGCTAGGTCTCCATATAACATTGCTGCATATGACCAGCATGCAGTGTATCAACCACAAACTTTAGCAGTCGAGTCAGACTCGGACACAGACTCCATCCTCTCTGTAGACGATGATGATAACGATGACGTAATCGTGATTTCTCCTAGTCAAGAAACTGGGAGAAGACGTCAACCATCACCTCCTCGTCATCAACGAGAGAGCACATCACTGACATATCGTGACCTCTCACCTTTATTGCACAGAGTTCGGAGCTTGTTGGAGTATCCAACGGGAAGTCACTTAAGTGTCAACACACCAGGCTGGGACTCTCCTACCCCAGGCCCATCCTGGGCAGCTGAAACAGACTTGTCTGACTCGTCAGCAGCAGAAACAACTGTGGAAGAGGAAACAGTGTTAGACGATGGAATCCGTACGATGGGGGATGCACAAACTACGGTCAAAATAGAAGAGGAGTGTGAAATTGATGTTGAAAACACCGGGAGTAACTCCTCGAGTGGTGATTCTGATTCGGACTCCAGTAAGGCTGGAAGTGACATTGTGTTTGTGGGTTATGATCGACCCTGGCAGGAACGTTCCCCAATATTGCTATCTTCGAGTGACGAAGCCAATGTTGTTTCCCAACCAACCTCTAGCAGCACCGTAGATAAGAAATCCAAACTCAGAGGGGAGAAAAAACCACAGACTGATAGACATAAAAAACGTAGTTCAGACTTCTCAAAGGGTCACAGCTGGAGGACATCCAAGAGACGAAGAACGAGATCACAATCAAAGACACGATCTCGATCAAGGTCTTCATCACGACATGGACACTATTGGAGAAGGAGGAGTCGCTCAAGGTCAAGGTCAAGATACATGTTTAATCATCGGAGACACAGATCAAGATCCAGATCAAGAGGACGATCAGGTTCTAAAAGGAAGAGAACATCTTCTCCTCCAAGTTTTGACCACTCATTCATTAACAACAGATCTAGAGCAAGCTCAAGCTTGCTGTCATGGGACCAGAAACGCCACAGAAGTAAATCTAGTAGTGTCGAAATCACTTACGTGAAACGAAAGAAATCAAAACACAAGAAAAAGGAAAAGAAACATCATAAAAAACACAAAAGCAGAAAGCATAAAAAGCGAAGAAGGGCTTCAGATTCAGAGGACAGCCAGGAAAATACGGTTCAGAGTGTGAGCAGGCCTAGGAGTTTAGTTACAGTTGTCAACAAACCAAAACAATCGGAACTGAAATCTGAAGAACGCTACGACAATGAAATTGAAGAGAAAACTACGAAGAAGGACATTAGTACAAATGGTCATAGTTCTCCTACATTACAATCCAGATCATTGATTCCAGATCTAGACTCCCCCATTATGTCAAGTGCACAAACAATAACATCAGATTCAAAATCTTTAGATTCAACCACAACAGGATCTCCTGATTCAAAAGTTTCTTGTAAGGGTTCATTAGATTCAAAAATTTCCTCTGTAGAATCAAACATCATAAAGCCATACAAGAAACACCCAACTGGTCACAAGAAAAGTAGCCAGAACAAAACTGCCTCTCAGTGTACGTCATCTTCAGTGGACCTGAAACATACAACCTCAACAGAGTCCTGCCCTGACAGTGCTCCGACTGTAAAGTCACAAGAGTTATCCTCCCTTGTAAAGAATGGAACTATTTCTGGACCTTGTACACAATCTTCTGAGAGCAGTGATGGAGATATCAATGAGGCATCAAACAATACAGGTCAAGAAAAACACATGGAGGAAGTTCACAATAAAGATGCCTCATCCTGCACTGTACAATCTCCCTGTGTATCTAGTGATGGACTCGACTCTAAGGAGGTGGATGACCGCTTCAGTAGAAATATGTCTGCCCCGGATGATGCACCAGAGAACCCCAATGACAGCGTAAACATTGATGTGTCTGGTGATGCGAGCTGTATTTCAGACAGCAATAGGGCATATAACTCATCAGACAATACAGACAATGGGGGTCAGTGCAAAACTGACCACGAGTCTGCTGGTCAGCAGTCAACATCAGCATCACCTGTAGTGAATACCTCCAACAGTGTACATTCAGATCAAACTTTATCTTCTGATTTAACAGATAAGAACAAAAAACACCAATGTGCATTGCGTGGTACAGATATTTCTTCGGAGCTGTCTGACAATCCAGACTCTAGTTTTAACCCTACAGATGATGGGCCGAGTAGTGATGACACCACAGGTAAACGCCAGCGCTCGCCTTGTGTGTTTGACAATGGTGGAGTATCAGCACCTCGGCTTGGACACCAAACAAGCACTATAGAGATCCTCGATTCGGATTCCTCACTCAACAGTGACTCCGATATTGATGTTGAGGACTTATTAGACTGTGAGGGAAGTGCCGATTCTGGGAGGACCAATCACCGCAGGCGGTCATGTGTAATTGTAGAGTCGCCCGAAAATGTGGCCATCAGAAACCCATCAGATAGTGCCACAGACTACCCTAGATACTCTAGCGATCATGATGAGATCTCTTCCTCAAGTGCTATGTCAGATGCCAACATTTTTTCCAACACAAATACCAGCCAATCACAACCAAGTAGTCCCTGTCTCTACAGCAGTCCAAACTTAATGTATAACAACCCCATGGGAACAAACCTAGCCCTATCCAGCTTCAACGGTCTCTTTCATTCCTCTAGTGCCAGTGTTATGAGGACAGACAGCTTTGTCAGTAACATGGCAGTGTCAATATCCACTGCAGGGGTACAGAGCCAGCACATGACCAACCATGTGTACCGGACTAGTCCCGGAGGTCAGTGGGAATCTCATCACTCGGCCCATAGTATCTCGCGCGCCAACATGGGCAATGTCGAACTGGTGCAGACCATGTCGGGGGTGGCTCACAACAACCTGTATGGCTCCACTCGCAGTGCTACGTCGTCCACCATGGCTTACATACCACACACTACATCTGGACAGTACCTACCTAACGCACCCTCCGTACAGACGTACACAAATACACAGCAGTCTTACATGTCCACCACAGGTCAGCAGTACAGCACTACCTCCAGTCCGTCACACGTAGTGTCCAATGCCTCACCCCAGGCTAACTGTTCTCTTAACCGGAACCTTCTTCCCATTGAGGGTAACTCACAAACATCACTGTCCCCCTTACCAAGTTATTTCACGAGTGCTGGCTCCGCCAATTTGTGGTCGCAAGACAGACATATTGAAGTAGCGGACAGTAGTGAGGGGGATAGTGATGTTGACGTTCTATTCTTGTCAGACAACGAGGATGAATTGAGAGAAATCAACATCATGGACATCACAGATGAAGAGGAGTCTTGCGGTGAAGGATTCCACGTAGATCTCATCAGTGACGACAGCGATGTGGAGATCGAGGAAGCGTCGGGACCGACAGACAGTGTGTATGAGAACATGATCCCTGCTGTATTACCCCATGGAAGTGTGAGTGAGGCAGTGCTAGAGGATGATGCGGAGAGAACTCGCAGAACTACATGTGATCTAAGTGTGTTTGTCAGTGACGAGGAAGACACGGCATCACACACTAACGAACAATTACAGTGTGCTTCTTCCTCAGAGGAAGACAATTATTTACTGTATAGTGCAAGCTCTAGGTCTTCAGAGGATAGATTAAGTGGTCCCCATATATCTAGTGATAAAATTGCAAATGGAGAGGAAAAGCTTTCGTCTGATCAAAATCATTTAGGTGTCTTAAAAACGTGTGACAGAATTAGTGAGGAATCTTACAATAAAGCACCAAGTGTTGACTGTCACAGTTCTGGCTCTAAAGAGGAATCGGACAAACCAGTGTCATCTAGTTCTAATGTCAGCGGTCACGAAACTGGTTCAGAGGAGGAGTCGGACAAACCAGTGTCATCTAGTTCTGGTGTCGGCATCTGTCACATTTCTAGTTCAAATGAGGTATCTGATCAACCAGCATCATCTAGTTCTAGTGTTTGTCACCGTTCTGGTTCACCAGAGGAATTGGACATACAAGTGCCATCTAGTTCTAGTGTCGGCTGTCACAGTTCAGGTTCAGAGAAATTGGACGAACCGGCATCATCTAGTTCCAATGTCATATGTCCCGATACTGGTTCACTAGAGTACAGCACTGCCAGTGAGGGCAATAATACAGAAAGAAATATTGACACTGACAATAGTATTGGTAACTTGTCTTGTAGGGACGAAGATGTAATCAATGGTAATTGTGATATGTTGGACAGAGATAGTATGTTTGGTTCATCCGACAATAAGGACCAGAATAGTGAAGCGTATCGTTCATCCGACAATAAAGACAGGAATAGTGAAGCATGTGTTTCATCAGAAAATCAATCGACTAGCAAAGATATAATAGGCCACACCTGTGATACTGTCAGTGATTGTGTTGAAGTGAGTGAAAAACCTGTAGAGGATCAAAAGTCCTTATATGACTGTAGCAGTACTGCAGAGCCTAGTGAAGGAGTGTCTACCTCTGGTAGTGACACAGAGGCAATGGAGTAAGGGCAACATATCAAATGACTTAATATGTAATTATAAGTACTGTAATGGCCTTCTTTTCAGCAACTTAGCAATTTATTTAAATATTTAAACAGACCTTAATTGGATTGGAATATATCACAGTTTACAGTATATTTTTCACAGAAACCTGTTAGGTGAAAATATGTTGCGGTATTCATGAAAAAGGTAAAAATTTGTAATCTTTACGGTAAAAGTTATATAGACTGTATATATTTCATTTTATATACATTGTTCCAATTTAACAATAGATGTTCTTGTGCAAAATCTGTGTCCGATTCATGTGAGAAAGTGCTTGTATGTGTTTCAGAGTGCTCATACCAAGACACCGTCAGTACAACTCCCTCTGTAATTTTGGTGAAAGATGTAAAGCTTCTTTTTATCATTGATTCAATATTTCACTATTTTTTTTGCAAAACATAATTGGCTGGATCAGATAGCATGTTTTTTTTGTTTTTTGTTTTTTATTTGTTTCTTATATATGTTAATGGTTTTTTTTAAATGTAGATTGAAATGTATTAACATCACAAATGACTTTAACTTGAGCTTCTAAAATAATTTTTTGACTTTACAAATATTTGCACTGTCTGGAGTCATCATTTTTTTCCCCCCCACAAATACATCACAAAAATAGTGAAAATTAGAGAACCTATACTTCCATGCAAAAAATAAGTGCAAGATATGTGTTATTTATTTTGTTCTAAAAAAAACGAGTGCAAAATGATTCTTGAATGTATTTACCGAAATGAATCATTGCCTTATTAAAAACACAAACCACAATTTTGAGTTGGGCAAAAACAAAAATATGAATTTTTTGGTACCCCGACAAACCCTAGTGTTTACCTTCAGCTCGAGTAATTTTATCTCCCGAATGCACTTAATATCCCATTAAAACATGCCAAAAATAAATGTTAGCATGATCTTAATGACACCTCTCTCTTTCATAGACAGATATCTGATAATCAGACCAAATTTTTACCCCATATCATTATTTAAATGACCTAAATATACAATGAAAATGAAAACAATTTTGGTACGAATGCTTGGTGATTTAGACATTAACCAATTTGTTTCTATGCATATTTATCTTAATTTCTTTTAAAAGTGCATCAGAATTACTTTTAAGTAGATAAATGGTAAGCATGATTTGTATTTACTGTAAAGTTACCTAGAGAAATGTTGTATGCTGGTAATGTGTATATTACATCCTGATAATATGAATTCCTGAGTTTGAGAAACTTATACATGTATTAGGAATCACAAATTTAATCATTTTAAATAAATTCAATATTTATCATATGTTGTAATTATATTTTACATTTGCACCAAAGTGTCTGCTATTACATATTCTCTATCATAGCTCCAAGCTGTCCAGTCACTTTTTAGCTCACCTGGCCCACAGGGCCAAGTGAGCTTATGCCGCGGCCTGGTGTCCGGCGGCCTGGCGTCCTGCATCCGTCGTCTGTCAACTTTTGCCTTTAAAACGCTACTAGTCATGAACGCCTCAAAGGATTTTGACCAAATTTGGTCTGGAGCATTATTGGCCAAAGGGTTCTCAATTTTGTATAAGCGAAGGTTATGCCCACCCCCTGGGGGCAGAGGGGCTGGCCGGAATAAGGGAAAAATAGGTAATTTACATATTTGGAATATTTTTAAATCTATAAAATGATCATCATGATGAAAGACCTATTCTACCTTATTAGTGAGGAATACCCTATCCCTTTCATTGCCACATTGTCATGGTTACCGTAAATCTTCAAAAATCTTCTTCTTCTCAACCAATAGAAGTATTTTGACCAAACTTGTTCTAGAGCATCTTTGAATGAAGGGTGGAGCCGCTCCCCCTGAGGGCAGAGGGGCGGGAACCAATAGGGAAAATAAAGGATTTTTTTTTTCCTTTCGTACAAATCAAGGGAGTCAAACCAAATGTGATCTAATGCATGCGTAGGGAAAAAAGAATCAATTTCGTATAATCAGAGGGGTGTGGGCCCTTTTTTTGGTGCAGAAGGGTGTGGCCCATTAGGGGAAATAGAGGAAACAATTAAAGAACCTTCTCCTTGATGAAGGCTTTTTAACCAAACTTTTTCTGGATCACCTTTGGACAAAGGGAAATTAATTTTGTATAAACGGCGGATGTGGCCTCCTGGGGGCAGAGGGGCGGGGCCACATAAGGGAAAAATAGGTACATCTGTAAAAATCTTCTTAACCAATGGAAGGATTTCGACCAAATTTGTTCCAGAGCATCTTCGAACAAAAGGGTCTTAAGTTGTTTAAACCGAGGGTGGGGCAGTGGGGCGGGCCAATAAGGGGAAATAGAGAAAACTGTTTCCCCTTGTGAACAAATGAAGGGATTAAAACCAAATGTGGTCTGAAGCATGCTTATGGTAAAAAGATGCAATTTGTATAAACTGAGGCTGTGGCCCCCCTTTTCCGCAAAAGGGTGCATGTGAGGCCAAATAGGGGAAAGAGAAGAAAAAAATAAAAATCTTTCTTCTGTTTTTTCAATTAAGGGATTATAAGATTCACTTTAGTATAAAGTTTTATATGGAGTATGTGCTTCCCCCTAGGTTGTGGCCAGATGGAAGGTCCCAATAGGGGAAATGAAGAGAAATCTTTTAAAAACTTTACCTTTCTGTGTGAATAGAAATTTTGTTATAGATCATCCATAGGCATCTAGAGGGCTAGGCCCAATTGGGGAAATAGATTTACATATAGTTCTTTTTGCAAATTGTACCTCTTGTACTCCTTTAATAAACCTGTATGGTACTCAGCAATTTTTAAATTAAAAATAAAATACCAGGTGAGATATTAGGCCCCTTAGCTTGGCCTCTTGTTAAGTTAAGTTGATAAATCTATCCCCAGTATTTCTTATCCAATTTCTATGCAGATTTCCATACATGTTTCCAATACTGGTACAATTAAGTGTGTGTTTCTACCAATTGGGTAAAAACAGGGTCACCATTAAATATACAAACACCCAGCATTTCTGATCACTTCCAACTGTGGAGGTATATCTTATTAGCTCACCTGCCTGAAGGGCATGTGAGCATTATGCCATGGCGCGGCATCCGGCCGTCCATCAATTTATTGTTTAAACAACTTTTTCTGAAGATCCGAAAGTCATGATATTTGGCCAGTAGCAGCCTATGATGAATCCCGACAAAGTTTGCGAATGAAAAGGAGGTTGACCTACTTTCAAGGTCACCGTGGTGAAATTGGTCAAAATATTGAAATGACTTCTTCTGAAGATCCAAAATACCTAGAGTCATGATATTTGGCCAGTAGCATCCTATGATGGAGTCCGACAAAGTTTGTGAATGAAAATGAGCTTGACCTACTTTCAAGGTCGCAGGGGTGAAATAGGTCTAAACATTCAAACAACTTCTTCTGAAGATCTGAAGTCATATGATATTTGGCCACTAGCATCCCATGATGGAGCCCGACAAAGTTGCAAATGAAAATGACCTTGACCTACTTTCAAGGTCACAAAGGTGAAATAGGTCTAAACCTTCAAACAACTTTTTCTGAAGATCCGATTGCCCTAAAGTCATGATATTTGTCCAGTAGCATTCTATGGTGAATCCCAACAAAGTTTTGAAAATGAAAATGACCTTGACCTACTTTCAAGGTCACAAGGGTGAAATAGGTCTAAACCTTCAAACAACTTTTTCTCAAGATCCGATTGCCCTAAAGTCATGATATTTGTCCAGTAGCATCCTATGATGGAACCCGATGAAGTTTGAGAATGAAAATGAATATTTGACATGTTTCAAGTCATGCTCCTTTTCCCCACCAGCATCCTGTGTTTGAGTTCAACAACATTTGGACATGAATATGCCCTTGCGCTACGTATACTCTCAACGGCACAGGGGTCAATTAACTGTAAACCTTCAACCGCTTCTGAATAACCAATCAACCTTACTTCACAATATTTGGCCAACAACTCCATGTAACAAAACAAACAGGTAAGCGATACAGGCCCTTCTGGGGGCTCTTGTACTGATATCAGTTGTGCCATGTTTCTGGAGAAAAAAGTTAAAATTTAGGGAATTATTATAAGGGAATAGCAGTTTGATGGTATGAAAATTAAGACACTGAGAGTGTTTTAAAGTTCACCTGTAAAAATGCAAATGAGCTTATACAGGGGTGCAACATGCGTCATATTTCTGGCATCTTTTTCTTCAAATGTCTTCTGAATATCTAAGAGGCCTTATTATTAAATAAGTGGTCATGATGTATAGCCTTTAGCGAGCTGGAGTTGAGGGCTATCAAGTTTCACTTTGACAGAGTATTTTAAACACTTTATCTAAATAACCAATTAAGAGGCCTAGAGTCATAAATATGGCCTGTAGCCTGCTGGGATGCAGAACTATCTAGTTTGTTCAATTGAATGGCCTTGACCTATCCAAGTTACAGTTTTATCAAGGTCAAAGGAGTAAATCATATGGGTTATGGTTCAGCCGGTGACTAGCTGGGATGAAGGGAAACCACAGATATTGGCATAATGACCTTTGACTTGTTGTCACAGAGGTAAAATTCCTTGAAAGAATATTTAAAAACCTGTTCCCATAAGCTGATAAGTGAATGACCTTTGCCCATAATCAAGGTCACAAGTGTCGATTGTCTTGAAAACATTTAAACCATTTCTTCTGAATAACAAAGAGGCCCAGGGTGATGATATTTGGCCAGTAGCATGCTAGCATTAAGGGCTACAAAGTTTGTTCAAATGAATGACATTCACCCATATTCAAGGTCACAGGGGGGTCAAATATGTTTAAACTTTTAAATAATTTCTTCTGAATAACCAAGAGGCCCAGGGTGATGATATTTGGCCAGTAGCATGCTAGCATGAAGGGCTACAAATTAAAGTTTGTTCAAATGAATGACCTTTGCCCATAATCAAGGTCACAGGCATCAATTGTCTTGAAAAATTTTAAACAACTTCTTCTGTATAACCAAAAGGTCCAGGGTAATGATATTTGACCACAAGGATGTTGGCATGAAGGGATACAAAGTTTGTTCAAATGAATGACCTTTGCCTATAATCAAGGTCACAGGCATCAATTGTCTTGAAAAATTTTAAACAACTTCTTCTGTATAACCTAAAGGTCCAGGGTAATGATATTTGGCCACAAGGATGTTGGCATGAAAGGATACGAAGTTTGTTTAGATGAATGACCTTGCACATCTGGTCCATAGTGCTAAAATCTTTAAAAGTCATTTTCTCAATTAACAAAAGGTATAAGGTTGTGATATTTGGCAAGTTGCATTCTGGCAGAAAGGGCTATGAAGTTTGTTCAACTAAATGTCCATGTTTGACTTTCAAGGTCACAGGGGTCAAATGTGTTTTAATTGTTTAACCGGTTTCTTCTGAATGACTGACTTGAAGTCAAAACACTTATATTTTGCCTGTAGCTTTATTTTATTACACTTTTAAGGTTACAATTGTGAAATTTAATACCAGGTGAGCAATGCAGGCCCAATGGGCCTCTTGTTTTCTTTTGCCTTCTGTTTGTATTATAAAGTTCTAGTTGAAACAGAAGTTTTGGAAGTGAACTGACCTGGAGCTCAACCGATCACATTACATGTACTGAAATGGAAATAAAGAAACAATTCAGTTTGGATGCAGTTGATTGTAGGGTTTTTTTCAGAAATCAATAGGATCCTTGGTTATGCTTTAAGAATTCAATGGCATTTAATTGTTTGATACACAATAGTTATCTTCAGTTATTAAAGAAAATCTTCATGTTATGACCAACAGAGAATGGGGTGCTATAGCTGTTACTTTTGATCATCGTTTGATTATAACGAGTGTGGATCTTAAATGTATTTAATGGGTGACAGCGTCATGATCTATTGCATATTTTACCATTGTGACATCAAAATATATGTCATTTGGAAAGTATTCAAGGCTGGTACAGTGATATATTTTTAGATTTTGTGTTGGTGGTCCTTTAATTGAATGCAAATAGTTCAACATTTTCCTTGATCAGAAAGTGTAGAAATGATGAAAATATTTTTTGATCTGAGACTTTTAAGTTTTGTTTGAAAATTGAACATGACCTTGTGTAAAATTTGTATTTTAGAAATAAATATATATATATATATATATTACCAATACATCAAAATGTATATTGCTATGACATAACAATTTATTATATTATTTTATGTCAATTTTACATCAGAGAGACACTGACATAGCTAAGAACCATCAAATTGATTCTAAAGCATTCTCCTTGACACATCGCATGAATAAAGGAAGGTGATCATGATCATGATAGCTTACATAGTATGTTTCT